TCGGGCCGCAGCCGTCAAGACCGTCGGTGCAGCCTGTTGCAGTGCAGGCACAGCAGCCAAGACCATGGTGGACTCGTCATGTAATTTCGCGACTGCCCACAAGCAGTTTGATAGTTCCTGCGGCTGCATACGGTCTACCTTCTTGGGCATGTGCTGTGCTATTGCTCCTGCAGCTGCCAAGACCTCCGGTGCCACCGCTTGCAGTTGGGCTGCTGCCCACAGTCCATTTGCCAGGCTGGTTGGGCTCATTTTGGCTGCGCTCTGCACGACACCCGCTGCAAGGGCCGGAACAGCCGATAGATCTGCTGCAACGTCGCCGTGTGCTTTGGCTGCTTTCAACCGTTCGTTCGACAACTCGTTTGGCGTGATGCGATCATCTCCAATACAAGAAGTTGACCAAAACCATCTAAACATCCAGTGTCGCGATTGGCAGCGCCAGAGCAAGAAATTCAATCCGTGAGCCTTGAGCCATGACTGCTGCAGGTCTTGCATATAGCTCCACCTGGATCCCTTTATGACGACAAAGCGATGCAAATCCAAGGCCGGAAAACACTGAACAGTGTACGACGCCTGCAGGAATCTTTGCGCCCTCCACGTCTTCGCAACGATGACCGGCCTGTTGCGAGGGCTTTCACTCGAACTGAAACCGTCCGCGTTTTCCCGACAGTAGCGGATGTTCTGGAGACCCTGGGAAGGTGCATCTACGACCTGCGTAGAAACAGCAGCAGTAGCGGCATAATGTGGACTCAAAGTCATACTAAGTAGGAACATTCTTCATGCTTCAAGGGCTTCGCAGTCGGGCAAACGAGCAGGAAGCATCAACGACACTCACTGGTATCGTGCATCTTGTCCTGCCCCTCTCTCACGATGGGCATCGTGGTTGCGATCGTCAGAACCGTAGTCAGATTTTCTTAGCCACTCTCCAGCCCTAAAGTTCCTAAAGCTGAGTCATAGGCCCATCCGTCTCGAGGTCCAAGCGCTGGATAAATCCAAAACTGGGCAGCTCAGTTGCTGAAAAGGTAGGTGCAACAGGTTTGGACTTGACCTTGTAAGACTCCACTGTGCAAGGAACTTGGCAGATTTCTCAAGTTCCGTCTCGACTGGCTGGTTGCTTTCGCAGAGACCTCGAAATCCTAGCACGGCATTCGAGAGACTGATTGGGCGGGTATCAGTAGATCCTCTTGGCATGCGAACTGGAAGAAGGGTTTAAGCTGTGAAGTAAGGACTATGCCCATTATGCACTGCCGCAGCCCTGAGAATTTGTCAGACTTGTCTTTCGAATCTTGGCTCATCGATCAGTTCCCTCGAAATTCATGACATGTCCGATACCAAAGTCAATGGCCCATCTGCTCTGCCCGGCTAGGCTCTGCTCTGGGCACGGCACTCCGTGACGTTCCGGGCCTGTGGGTCCTTGACCCCGTCATTTTCTCCGACCTCGCTCCAAGCGCTGCCCTTAAGCTTCCTTCACTCAGAGAAAGCTTCGACAAGCCGAAAGTGCTCCGACGGGATTACGACAGGAGTTGACGATTGGCCATGGATATCATTGTTGCCAATTTGGCAGTGCGGGGTTTGGGCTTCACTCAAGTAAGGCAGTAACGCTATCCAATGTGGGTTTGGGGTACGTCCTGAAGCAGTTCAGGAATACCGGATTGCACTGCCTCCCTCAAGTTTCGGCGAAGCTTCACTGAGAGCTCATGACTTCTCTTGGGTGGGGGTTGGCATTGAAGTAACGTTTAAGTTGTAATCCATCCTGGCCGAGACACCCATTGGTTGCCACAGAAGATGCCGTGCCACAACTGCGTGCATTGGGCTGGGAGGTTGCAAGACAATTCCATGCGCGGCTCAGTCGAATGAAGTTCTTCAATTAGCCATAATGCCGCAGTGCAATTGCAAGGCTCTTCCACGACCTCCAGACTCCAAACACCACGGAGTCATCGGGAGAAGTGAAACCAGCAAGGCAAACCAATTGCCCTCAACCACGAGGTCCCCTCCTGCAAGCAGCTCTTCTTGTCTGCCCTGGCAACGCATACCAGGCTGAATTCACAGGAAAGCATGCAGCATTGAGTCGTCTAGGAGGACGCAGGCTGCACACATGCTGCTCTTCTAAACGACTGCTCCGTGACGACAAGTTCAACCTGGCAATGAATGGCGCAAGGTGTTCGTCGACATGCACGGGCTTGACACCAACGAGCATTACCGTCGGGAAGTCGACAATCAGGGCAGAGATGCCAAACCTTGTCCAACGCTTCCTGCTTCGTTTTGCCTGGGACACTGGCAAGCATGCGACATGCGCTGCGAATTGGCTCATTCGTTATCCTCGAGCTGCCTCGTTATTTCTAGTGCTCCACTGCATTAAAGCATTTGAGACGCTCGAAATCTTGGGCACAGCAGAAGCACTGCAACAGAATAGGAATATGTAGAGTGAGGAGAGGACGAACGATGACTGTATTCCTCAACGCGCCGCTTGACTGGCTTCAGCGACTTTGGATGGCCAGCACCAATGCATGCGCCTATGCCACAAAAGCCTGTGCGAAGCTAAAACCCCAACATTACTGGCGTGGAGTGGAGATGAGATTATCGAGCTTAATAAACTCTTGCAATAAAACACAGCACCAACAGATAGCACTGTGCTGCAATTAGTCTCGAACGCTGTGCACAGGACAGAAATGGTGCGAATACAAGCGCCCTTCGTTATACTTGCGCAAAGGGGGATGAGGCGCAGGAACTCGGGGAGTGCGTCTGCGAAGTCGGCAATCATATTCCCGAGCCCAAACACAGCCCGATCTCAAGAATCGGTGAGCGGCATCGGAGGAAGTCTTTCTTCAACTGTACATTCCAGGTTTCCTGGCGAGCAGCTTGGCTTCAGCTCTTGGACAGCTCACGGCTCCCGTAGCATTTCGCCATCGTGCAAAGCGTGTTGATCCAGCTTGACGCAATTTTGCTAATGAATCAATGCCTCTCAGTCTCACCCTTTCACCGTGACCCCCAACCTCACATCATCAAAGCTAAACGGATTGAAGTCTGGAGTTCGTCCCGGGAGCCCTGAGTTTACGGAGCCGAAACACGCGCCGCCAGGTACCGGTGAGCCCCCCATCTGCCACAGGGGCGGCTTGTAGATGACCCAGACCTCGTCCTGGGCCAACTCGGCTGTCAGAGCTCTATCGAATGCGGCTTGTTATGTCGGGAAGATTGTCATGTCAGGCAGCATACCACTTTTTTCACAGGGAACTCCGAACTCCCCTGGCAACGAAGTCTGGCCTGAGGCATTGTAAGCCTCTGAGCTCATGCATGCCTCTGCCACCCATTCTCGCCACGTGGCATACGAGTCTAGAGCCACAAGCAGTGGAAGGGTAGGAAACAGCGCCTTTAGATGCAAGCATAATATGGTCACTCTTTGTCATTGTCCAATCACGAAACCACACAAAGTGTCAGCTGGAGATCTGTGCAGAATGATCCCCACTTCTGTCTTGATGCCATTCGGGCTTGACAGGCTTGGCGGTCAAGCTCCGAAGGCAGTTTGCTTGGACCGATGACTCCGATAACTCCGGCGGCGTGGCGCAAAGCTGGTGAGCTCGCAGGAGTGGATTTTGCTGCATGTCCTCAACCCTAAACCCTGAGCCCGGAAAAATCACGGAAGCTGCCTTTACATGCGCAGTTGCAGCTGCTGCGGTTGCTGATGTTCATCCTGATGCTGCTGCCTTGGTAGTAGTCAGAGTAGCGGGAGTAGTCGCAGCAGCTGTAGTGGTGGTGGTAGCGGTAGCAACGGTAGTGGAGGTGGTAGTGGTAGTGGTAGTGGTAGTCGTAAAGTAATGGTAGTGGTAGTGGCAGCAGCAGGAGCAGCGGCAGCAACAGGAACAGTAAATAGCAGTGACGGTGCCGTTGGCGGTGGTGCGATGGTGGTGGTAGTCCTCAATCTGCTGTTGTTGTTTTCGGCATTACAGGAAGTCAAACAGTGGTAGCGGCAGGAGGGAGCAGCAACAACAGGCCCATGTATTCAATCTTGATGTCGTCATCACACTACTCTGCCTGCAACGAGGATGGGTGACCAAACTGAAAGCGGTGTTCAGCTGTGGAAGGGCTTCAGCAAGCCTGGCAAGCCCAATCCCTTCTCTTGTTGCCCAAGACACGGCAAGGAATTCGATTTTGCAAGTAGCTTTAAGTTGCTATTGTTCTGAAGCGGCTGCTGCCGCTCTTTAATTCTGGATTATGGACAGTCATCAGGGAGCGAGACCCATAAACTGTTACGCTTGCCCGGCTCGGAACCTCGACTGATGCGACGTGTACAGGAGAGATTCGCAAATGATTCGAAGAACGAATCTCAGATACAACTGTGAGGCAACACATCGCTCCAGCCTTCTGGCTGTGGAAACAAATAACAAAACGCGAATGCAATGCTTCGCATGGCGCCATGCCGAGTTGATCGGCCAGCTCACGTGACACGAAGAAGTCACTGTCAAACGTACACATCGTGTCAGCCATGTTCATGGCCGACACGATGCACTGCCGAACGGAAAGGCAGAATTGCTGGGCGGCCCAGGAAGCTCTTGAGCTGTCCCCTTCTTTTAGAAAGGCCGCGGCGACTGTATGAAAAGGGCACAGGCGGTGCCCAGTCTTAGTATCTTGTCGGACTGAAGGCTTGAACCATAAGCAGAATGGATCTAGTGCCGCACTGCACCCTGATAGAACTTCTGGTTGTGCTACATCGTCCTGTGGGTAGGCGGATGCAGCGTGCATCGAGCCTTGACTAACGGCCGGACATGCACAATGGCACCGAGATATGTACAAAGCTCGGCAAGCTCTTAGATGGCAGCATTTGGGATGCTGATAACATGGATGGTCCTTAGCTGCTGCTTTCCTCGCTCCGATGCTGTGAGACGGCATGACTCTGTGTCATCCTGCACTGTCTCCACTACTGCATCCAGGAAACTGCATTAGAACTTGAACTTAGAAACTGAAATCCGTGCCAAATGCATCTCTGCAACGAAGTGGCTTGTTTGAACCTACTGCTTGTGGCAAGCAGTCCAGGTATCTGCGATGTCTTCGTTTGCACGACCGGGCGTGAAGGAAGCGATCCAGTTGACGACTGTCCGCAGAGGGACATTTTTCCTTGATTCGCAAGAGGTTCATCAAGCTCGCGATCACACGACTGAATGGAGCGTCGCTGCAAGGAACATCTAGAAAGCCGGAATGAACGTTCTCGTAGGCGCGTCAGATGTCTATTTGAGCTCTTCCTGTCCTACGCGCCCAGTCAGATGTAAGGACTACCAGATTGAATCCGCCGAATGCATGTACAAACCGTTAGAATACGCAGGGTAACCTCAAGAGCTCGTGGTAGATGGCTACAGGCAAAGGCAATCCAACACCACACGCCAGCCTCAAATGTCAGCCATGCAGCTTCTTCGATACCTTCTTGACCAAGAGCTTAAAGCGTTCGAAAGTCATTCCACGCTTAGACTCCTTGCATTCCTTGAACCTGGGCTCAGCGAACATGGGCAATTCTCTTGGCCCAGCCATTTGGATACCCTCTGATTCGACCCCCACTGAATGCGCAAGCGATTGACTCCAAGCCAACACCACGACGCAAACAGCCCGACGGAAGGAAAGGCAAGGTTCAACACCTCGGAGAACCCAAAGTGGTGTCTGTATACTCATCTCTAAACCCTAAACCCTAAACCCTCTTCTTTACAGAGTTAATATGAGTTAATGGGAGGACGCGCTCCGTCCGGGCCGCAGCGCCATGGCCTCGGTGATGCCAAAGCCGGTATCGTCCAGGATGTCGAGCTGGCCTCGGTCTTTCGGGGGATTTTAAGGGGGTCTCCTACTACGGGATTTCCCGGAGGCTTAGTGCGGGAGGCTTTCTGTTTTGGGCGGGGTTCGGTATGGTTCGTTTTTCGAGCTTTAGAACTTTAGAACTTGAAAGTTTCGGCAGTTTGGGGACGGGAGTTGCTGAATTTCAGGGTCGTCGGCTTCAGGGGGTGAACGAAGGTCAAGCACGGGTGTCGCCATAAGATTCGTGTTGGCGGAGGCCGGGTGGTGAGTTCTTCTTGTCTTGTCATCTGTTTGGACAACCCCAGCTTCTCATTCTGTGAGGGATGACAATGGGGGAAGGGAGGGGTGAGTTGGAGCTGAGAATATCGACCACAGGGGCTACAGCGTAGAGTTGAGAGTTTAGGGGCAAGCCTGTGCCCAAAATCTATTTGTCTTGCCCCCCCTGCACAGTGTGGAAATAGAATGCTGCTCGCCCCTGGCACCACTTCTAGGATCCAGATGATATCTTTTTTGCGCTACACCTGAACCCCTGAAACCTTAGGCCCTAAAATCCTTCACCCTGAAAGCCCTAAGGCCTTGATGACACATGAAACTGTGGCTGACCGCGCATCAACTTGGCTACCACAGCCAGGGCACGACAGAGCGCCAGGTACTCGTGGTAAGTGATATAATCCCTGTGCGTGGTGGCAAGGAATTTTGCCGGGCGCAAGAAGCAACTCCGGGTTGAGGGGTGAAGGCTTAGAGGAAGGGCAAGATTCGGGTGCGGGCGGTCGGGATTCCCAGCATCGAAACATCTGAATTCCACAGCCAGCGGCTGAAAACAGTTGCAGTCAGAGGCAAGCTGGAGGAGCCTTGCCTGTTGCTGGCCCCGGCAATGACATGGAACACCTGCAAGAAAGATCACTGCAACTAAGTTTAGGGAATGACCTTGTGACGACACCACGGAGGCAACGGCAAAGCTGCTTGCCCAAGGTGAAGCCCAGCCAGTAGTATGCCAAGTGCAACTGTGTGGGATTGAAGGAGCGAAGCATTTGGATGTGCAGTGTAGAACTCTCCTGGTCGTCAGCCTTCGCTATAAGTATATTATTTACGGGTTTCCTTATTCCGCCAGCTTTAAGCACGTGCACTGTGAATGCCAGCATTCCAATCTTCATAGTCTGTCAGCGCAACTCTTGTCCGTGTCATGTGCAGAACATACCGAGAAGGCTGAAACGCCACTGCCTCTGATGCCCCTCGCCAGTCCAGCTTCGCTCCATCCTCCGGCTTTGTAACAAGAAGACTTCGCAACAGTGAGGGATTGTGGTCGTCCGCCCTCCTCCTCCTCCTCCTTGTCGCCGTCACGTCCAATAGGAGCACTGGTCAGTGTAGCACGTTGCACGAATGACCAGTAGAGCAGTAGCAGCAAGCACGAACACTGCAAATGACAAAAAGGCGCAGTAGTAACAGGATCGACACATCCGGCTGTTGGATATGTCTCAATGGTCTGACAGCATCAACTCGTCAGCACAGCAAACACCGATTGTTGAGCGCACATCAGTTTGCTTGGCTGTGTGAGCTTTAGTAACTTCAATCTGTAGCGCTGTCTGCTATTGTGATCCATCCCAAACAAGTGGGCTCCGAGGTGTACAGGCCGAAGAGGTAGTCGACAAATTCATCGAAGTCGATGCCCTTGCAAAGACATCCCAATCGCATGGCCTCATAGAGACGAACAACACTTTCACAGGGATCGGGCCTCGTCGCCATCGTGATTCATGTCGTCCCAGAGGACCCCCTTAGCTTAAATGGTTGGGGACATAGGCTTCCCAAAAGTTCAACACTCAGAGCGATCATGCCAGCAGACAGCAATCCTGCTCTTGTTGAAACGAGAGAATCTCAGTCGCCCCTCCGTTGGCCATCTGCTTTGTCAGAAGATTCGACATGCGGGCGGACTTTCCGCCGCCTGAATTTAATGCATAGGAGCCAACTCCTCGTCCGTGATGTCGTCACGCCCTCTCCTAAGCAGCACGCCCATCTCCTCCTTGGTTTCAGTTGAGGAAAGTGCACGGTGACCGAGGACGGCAACTAACGGCCCATAACTGCAGAGACTTCTGAGCTCGCATCCCGACTCAAAATTCCATCGCCGTTCCTAGGTACGAAGCCGAAGCGGGGCGACTCAGCAGAACCACGAAGCAACCGGCCTGGCCTGTCCAGCGCCTGAAACTTTGCCTTGATGTCGGCGATGGTATAGGTTCCCACCACTGGGCCTCCGAAGACGTCAGAGTCATAGGCAGAGCATGGGATATTCGCATCAACATGGGCTAAGACTTGTATTGCGGACGGAGATCATGCTCGCTGTAGAATGCAGCTCCCACTCGTCATCAGCGCTTGACTGCGTTTTCTTTATCGCTTGCACATTGTCCCAAAGTACCGTCACGAGAGACTGGGAGTGGGTTGTGGATGCGACGCCCCCTCAAGGAGCCGCATTGAGCACCAACTCCGAAGGAACCGCTCGCTTTCGTTGGTGGAAAGATGCATATCTCCAAAGTAGGGAAGTTGCATGAACCTTGAACATGCCTGGCAAAAGCCCAGCTTCAGCTGCAGTGGATGCTGACTCCAGAGACCTGCTACCAGTTGGCGCCTGGCTTCATGCTCAGGATGACGCTATCCTGGAGAACCAGAGGCCACGCAAGGCCCGTTGAAGCTTGGAACGTCGTTCGTAAAAGAACAGCCGGAGGGATCTGACACCAGAGACAGACAGTATGTCTGGCCCAACACCCCGACAAGATGCAGGCAACATTCATCCAATCACCTGTCTTCCCGATCCAGGTCCTCGCCCGGCGATGCAAGGGGCGATGGGGCAGCCGCCGCACCACCATCTGCAGTTCCAAGAGGAATGACAAGGAAACGAGCAGAAATTGACCGGCGTGGCCGCAGGCCTGGGACATAGGAGATGTGCGGAGGGAGGACCTTGGCACTGGACTTCCGGCGCTTCGGCCTCAAGGCCATTGCGGGCCGCGATCCCGAAGGCAGAGAGCGCTTCTTCCTGGCACTTCCTGGGCTTGGCTAAAGGTAGGTGCTATGCTAGACTGCTGTAGCACTGTAGTGTGATAGCTTGTTGGCAGTGTAGCTTCTTGCATGTTGGTGCTATCAGCATCTTTCAGCCAAAACGCTGCAGTCTCCCATCGCTAATGCCAACAGCAGCCTCCAGCCGCTTCAGACATCCAGAACGCAACCTCTGGTACCCTGCCCGGACATTTCAGGCTGAAACTTGTTTGCCGGGTCGAAGCGATCCATGTGCACCGGTTCCGTATAAACCGACAACAAAGGTCCCCTGTTTACCTCTAACCACGAAATTGCCACAGCTTCTGATTCTGGGAGAGCTGCGCGATCTATGAGGTACCGCGGCTTCGGCTTGCCACCTCTGCAAGAGAAAAGAGAAATGGTACGACTGTGCTCGGCCTTTTTGACTTGAGGAGGATGTCCACGCCCCACGCTCGAAACCCTTTTCTACCCTGAGGACTCATTTCAACCTGCTGCCCAGGTGAGCGAGGATCGTGTATTTTAAGCCTTGTATGGGCCGGCCATTGGGTGATGCCAGGGGGCTTGATGTCATCCACCACAGCAGAGAAACACCTACCAGCCTGCGAAGCCCTACACTCTGGGGCCCGTGCCTCGGATGTTTTCCAGAGGTCGAAGGCCGACCCGGCCGAAGAGCTGCCCGTTCAGTTGCTTGGAGGCTTAGGCAAACTCCACTCGAGCTCTTTGGGGGCTGCATCTACATCTCTCAGGTTCATTTGGCCCTGGTGGACAGGAACACCGTGTGCGCTCGGTCGAAAGCTCAGGAAATCCTGATGCCATCAACTCTTGCTTCCCCGTCCCGTCTGTCAATGAACGAAGTCTGAGCCTGGAGTAAAATTCTGTCTGACGCTGACAGCGACCCGCCTTCTTATAGCCACAAGCTACCCAAGCGAGAACTACGGGTGCTCTCAGAGACTCTTTCCGAATTTCCGGCTTCCCGCAAGCCTTCTCGTATTCATTTCGACACTTCTCGTGGAATTCCTTGCAAGCAGGTCGAGCTAGGCTGAACGGTCAAAGGTCTAAAAACCGGCAAGGGGGGCTTGCGATGCGACAGGTCGTGTCTGCAGCAAGTATCTGCCGGCCTCCATCTGCCAACTTTGTCGCATTTTCTGGACGTGCTTGTCAGCCTGACGAGTGCACCAGTTGCCCAAGTACGCTGCACGGAACGAAGGGGTGGACAGAGAGTTGTGGACACCTTTTTTGCCGGTGCTCTGCCTCTGCCATGAACTTCTGGTAGGCCAGCGTTGTCCTGAGATGGAAGTGCATTCAAAGAAATCAGGCATCAGACGCGACGCAAGCTGATGACTTGATGCTCGTGCAGGAGCATGTTCCTCAGTCCGCCAGTTGAGGGTCAGGCTTTTCAGTGATCTTGAGATCTGCCATCTCTCCGCGCACCTCTGCAGATGAGGCTTTGGTGAAGCGACGGCACGTTGCCGAATGTTGCCGAGCTCAGACCCTCGCCAAGGACAGCTGCCAGGAGCTATCGTCTTGCGCTGGCACTTGTTAATCTCTTCTCTGTCGTGCCCTGACGCTTCCGGGAAGCTTAGCCGAGGTTGGTTCAATCGCGTGTCGTTTCTATGCCAGCGGCAGGTGATTGTCGAAGCAGGGTGCTGACATGCTAGATAGAGTCACAAAGCCTTGAGATCTGCTGCGGTCAAATCATTGTTCGCCTGCACATCCCAGACTTGCTCCGTCCGACTCGAGCTGAGGGCAAAGCTGTATCATCACTCACAGACTTGACCCGTCACTGAGTGCGAATTGCAGAGTAGGCCTTCTGTGTTTTCACGTCGCACACACCAAGACCGGTTTGAAACCCCAGCCTCAGAGCCTTCTCCGCATCTGGTGCACGGATACGATTACGTCTATGATGCCAAGGGAGAATCACCTCCTCAGCCGTGGCCGAACTCGTGTCGGGCCTGAGGCACGCCGTCACCTAGGGAAGGATGGCGCATCACAGCACCATGCTTTTTTTGGCCAGGTGCCAAACTCAAACAACGAGTCGGCGATTGTCAGTTGCACTTGCAGCTCGATGCGACAAGGTCGAAGTACCGAACACTTAAGAATCAAGAACTGAAGCCAGTCAGCCTTCCGGGAGGAGAGACCGGGTCCGAGCCCAGCATGTGGTTGCAGAAGTTTTCCTCACAACAAAGGCCATGGGGGCGCGATCTCTTATTGTGACTCTGGGCTGCAAGAGTGGGCTGTCTCCTCGCGCCCACCTCTCTCCACATCCTTACAAGCCCAAGTGCAGCTGCGCCGCGAGCAGCGCCACGAACGGTGGCACCTCGGTCCTGGGCCGCAGGGTGCTCCGGTCATCTCCGGCATTTTTCAAGATTTAGGGTGGGGCAAAGACACAGAAGCTCAGAGCCTTGTTGAGGTTTTGGACCCGGTACCTGCACCATCCAGACCACGCCTTTAGGTCTTTAGGTGTCGAACTGGGTGCAGAGAATGTTGCAGTCAGACTGCCAAGTGGATATTTACACTCAGGCAAGGATGCCCACAAGAAATCGCAATCCGGCGGAGACTGCAGGCACGTGGCAGTGCGTGCTGAAGTTGCTCCAGCTCTTGAAGGTGCTTTCTGTTTCCTAAAGCACCCGATGGATGGTGGTGGCTGTTCAACTATTCATAATAGCTTCGAACGACACTCAAGGCTCAAGCCAGGCTGGAAGATTTTACAAAGTTCTTGACACCATTCGACACCCTTGCACCGGCCGTCCTCGAGACGGCAGGGACCTGCGGGCTCGCTGCGCGCTGTGCCTGTGGGGGCGGGGGGGGGCCGACGAGGCACACTTGTAACTTCTTAGTCTAGAAATGCGGTGAGGATGAGCTGTGAAGCTGCCTCCCTCCAAGCCATGCTGACAAGAAACCACTCGGCTGCTTTAACCTTCTTAGCATGATACCATATTGTACTACTGGTACGGTGTGGTCTGTTTCCGCAGGATGCCAGCTGCTAGCCCGACAGAGCATGGGAAGCATGTGTGATGCATGCGGGAAGTCCTTACGGACCGGCCGTGCCTGAATGGAGGGCTTCGGGGGCCGTATCCTCAGACAAGAGTCTGCGGCATCGGATGATGCCGGTCTGCTGTATGAGAACACAAGACACATCAAGCGATGCACATCCGGAAGTGCCTAAAGTTGTGGGCACTCAGCAACCCGAACCTTAGACTATGCCGAGGATCGGAGCGATCATGTCCACCCCGATGTTGTTCGGAGGCTGGCAGTCACTCATGTTTGGAGGGGTACACGGTTCATACAGCATGGCTCTCTGCCTCAAATCTTAGCGTTATGCACATGGTTCGCATCGAATGTGGCTGACTCAGGCTGCACCTTCTGAGCTGCACGAGCTGTTGGCGAGATGCCCGAAATTGCGTCCTGCCCAGCTATAAGAAGAGAGTTTCGACCTCTCCGCATCTGCCCCACTGCCTCGCCTCGCTCGCTTCTGAGCCCGGAGCCGCTTGCCTGGGAGTTGTCCGGTGCGGAGCTTTAGCTTCACGATGACAGCACAAGGTCCGCTTGACGGTGCCCTTCGATTCAATACGGATGCGTCCGGATTGTACTAGCAACTACTAACCGTTCAGGGCAGTGATATATTGTTGACGTCGGACCACGGACTGTTCTCGAATGAGGCTGAGAGAAGCTATAGCACTGCTAAAGCCGCGTCAGCGAAACACTGGTTCTTCACGAGCCGCTGCTGATATCTTTTCAAACTCTGCCACCCAACGGGTCGCGGTGCAACCTTCAATCGAGCTTCTGGACAAGCTTTGCGATCAACCAAGGAACCTGCTACGCTCTGCTCCAGGCTCAACGAGGCTCTTCGGGGCTCGGACACCCGAGGCTGGAAGCCAGGCCGGGGGAATGCCGCCCTGCGCAGGGAACTTGAAGACAGAAGCGCTGCAGAGTGCTTCTGAAAGCTCTTGAAGGAAGCATGCCGTGGCCGCTTTGCGTTCGCATGTTGCTTGCGCAGCTCTTAACAGTAGCCTAGAGCACTCACATGCGCATGGCAACCCAGAGCCCTACTTTAGTAGCAAGCATGCTCACTTCTCTGCTCAAACCATGCTTCGTAAAAGTTCTGCGTGGTGAGGCGCGAACCCAGGAGGAAATCCTGCAGCTGGCATCCTCGGATCATGCGCACCGAGGTTTCAGAGAGTCGAGCTTTCGAAGGCTTGGACTCTTTAGTGCACGGACTGCCCATGCCACAATAAAGCATGGAAGCAGAATGACATAGTTGCGTAACTCAGGCTGGCACGCCCCTGCAAACGGCGGCATGGTGCCCGGGTAGGGCGGCAGTCCAGTGATGGGCGATGGGCTCTTCATCATTGCTGCCTGGCTTTCATGTTTGAGTTCCGACCTAATATTAAGTGCAGCATCTGCGAGGTCTCTGGCGAACCGGCCTGCACCATCCAGGTTGCCAGCACTGCAGGGTCGACCGGCACCTGCATTGGGCTGCAACAAGTGGCAAATTGGCACAGCTCGTGGCCGTTGATGTTTGCAGTGATCACAGGCTTTCAGCAGATGTCCCCGTATCGGCAAGTCATTGTCGTGGTTTCTCAAAGTGAATTTTTCTGGCTGAACCTGCTACGTATGTCTGCTCTGCCCTCAGGGAAGATAAAGGGCGGATGGAGAGTCCACCCTTGACGTGAAAGAGCAGCTGAGAACCACGCTACATACAGAAGCACTGGCACTAAGGCTCTTCTGCACTGCCTACAACCACATGGCCTTGATGAGGCATTCTTGCATTTTTAGAGACACGCGATGCGACTTGACACTGTCGGCTTCCCGGTCCTGCAGGCCTGACCACCCGGCACAGGCATGTAGTTTGGGGGCCCTGGCAGAGAAGTCAAGCTCAAGAGAGTCGGCCGTCGAATCGATCTTCAATCGAGCTAGTACCACTGGCAGGGTATGCATGCCTGCAGCCAGGATCAAACAGGAAATGCCAGATTCGAGTGAATCCGAACGAAAGTTTTCCAGGAACAGGCTTTGCGGGGACCGCAGATTCGTGTTCAGGTAACTGGCTCACAAGGATGGGCATCTGCGAGGGGAGGGGGGTGGAATGGGGTGGACTTGCACCTCAAGCATGTTATTTTACATGACTTCCTCTTGCTCTCCGTCGTCATCCGTCGTCGCGTGTCACTTATTCAAGCGCCCGAAGGTGCCTGCCGGCCCAGGACTGACTGGAGCTGCACCCGGCCTGTTGCTCGGCCTGAACTGGCGAAACTACGGCTACTAGGCGTATCCTCGCCGTCAGAGTGATGCAATGGCACGGCTTCGGGGTGGTGCTACGACGGTGCTGTGCTCTTTACGGAAGTTTAACTTCTATGACTGCTGTTGCCAAGGTTTCTGGCCGACTGAGCCGTGGGCGGGGAAAGAAGCTGATTCAGCGACACTGCTGGCTTGCCTCAATCCCACGACCAGTCTCTCTTGGCAAATGCACCGCTCGGCCTTGGGGCGTTTGCAACGTTAACGCGGACAAGACCACGACACTAAGGAGTGTCCTCTCATCGCCAGGCTCTGAGTTCGCTGACGCTCCGCTTTCGGCGCAGCGCTTCCGCTTGCATCGTCAGGAAACATCTGAGTGACGCGAGTGACGAATTCATCATGGCTGAAGGGGGTTCGGCTCGGACCTTCACGGAGGAGGCTCCAGGCTTCGTGTTGCACTAGCTTGCGAGTTTCAAGAGCACAAACAGGCTGATGATGCTGATGCCAGCATCTCGACCTTATCAACACGGAATGGCTTTGCAAGCCAAGCCAAATCTCCGGCAGGCCTTGTCGATGTAGTTTGGCGGCAGCCTGACGGTGGCTGGGGACATCGAAGGGAGGTCCGTGGACGAGCAGAGCACTTTCGGAGCAAACGCGTGAAGTGCACCATCAGCTGTGAGCTAGTTCTAGCCGCTAGCACTTTGTCAAGTCAAGTTTGAGAGTGGAGGTCATGTGCACGAAATGATGCGCAGCAAATCGCAGGCTTTTTTGGCTTCGCAAGAGGTGTGGACTAGCGTACCTATCCTGGGTCCTGTCGGTACCTGTTACCTGTTACCTTACCCAAGCCCAAGGACGCAATCTAACATCCTCTGCTGCTCGGCACAAAACGGCTGTGAAGATTTGTATCCTGCCTCCACAACAGGAATACATGCGAACCTTGCTGGCGCAACGGAACCCGATGTGGTCAGAAGGCATCATCCTGAGGGCCTACGTTTTTCATCATGGACAGTCGTAAACTGTCAGATCACCACTGAGACTATGCTTGCCGATAACTGTCCAGGCCTGTTGGCTGCTGTAAGCTGTTCCAGCGAGGGGCGAGACCTGCCAGATTGCCCTCAATGCCAGATAAATGCTCTTCGTGCCGGCAGCGCTTTGGCAGCAAGAGCTTGAGATCCCTCGGAGTGAAAATCATTTCTGCTTTGCAAAAGGCTCCCAGCTGTGCAGCCGTTAAACCGAGCTGCCAAAGGCACACTTTCGGGCCTTAGCAGGCCCTCCAAGACGTGGATGCCCCGGCGCACAACTGATACACCTGTATGCAGGGCCAGAGACAAGCAGAAATAGTTGGTACAGGAACAATATTTAACCTACATAGATTAAGCACACATGGATGCAACACTTCCGCGCACAGCTTTCCAAAATGTAGACGGTGGCGGGTTTCCGGAAGCAGCCCCTCGGTTCATGCGCTCGGAAATAAACGCCTGGGACGATGTTGCGCTGGACCAAGTCCGCTCGAGAAACCTCCTGCGACCTTGGTCGGACTGTGCAGAATATCTGTATGTATGTATGTATGTATGTATGTATGTATGTATGTATGTATATGTATATGTATATGTATATGTATGTGTATATATATATATATATATGGGATGCCTTCTCGATGAGTGCATGTAGGCTCAATGTTGCCTGTGACGGGCTTACTGGAGGTTGGGGTGACCCCTAAAGACCCGCAAGACGCAGTGCCTAATGACAGTCTTTCATGATCCTGACTTCCTGCCAAGCTCAGAAATCAGAAGGGCCTCCGAGCCAAGATCGTTTCCGACAGGGCCGTTCTTCATTCACAAACAACGCACGAGACCCTTGACCCCAAACTCTAACTGGCCCCCACAGCTTAAATCCTAAACCCTACCAGAGACCCTACACCCTAAACTCTTGACAGGTGGTTCTGGCGCAAGCAATGCAACCCAGCAAGCGGACAATTCAAGTTCACTGCAACGACCTCCTGCCAGCTTAACTCTATCTGCGAATCTAGAGCTACGGTTTCAAAATTTCTCTCAAACCTCGAAACCTAGACCCTCAAAGATATGACTCGCTCTTCTCGACTCCATAACTTGGCAGCTCGACTTCCGCAAGCGTTGGTCAAGCCTTTGGCGGCGTTCTTCAAAAGATCCCTGCGCCAAGAACGAAGACAAGATGAGTGATGAGAAGACGCACACAAGTGACTACATGAAATGCAAGAGCTACGACCCTGGTCAGACAGCTAGCAGTTCAGTGCGCATCTGCGGGACAGCCCTCTTCTTCGGTGTGGCCCAACTGGCTTCAAGCAAAGGCCATGGGGCACGGACTGGACTGGCATCATGCTTGCTACCAAGCCGCAAGGCAGCAGATTCAGATTTGCCGGAGGCATGGATCCAGCTTAAGGTTCCTCCGCATTGCTCCCTGGTGGAAAATATCTTATGGCAAGCGACGAGCAATGCATGTGCGGAGGCCTCTGCGTCGCGAATGCAAGTTGCGTTTGAGGTGTGCACCTTGCAAGGTTCGCTCACGGGTATCAGTCCAAGCACTTCTACCAAGGCCGACAGTTACAGTTGCCATGGTGCATGTACTTCCCTTATTCTACGCAAAAGGTCGAGCCTGTCCGTCCTGCGCTAGAACATGCCATGTCCCGAAGACACAAATGCTACAGGTCAAAACGACTTCAGCAGCCGGCATAGTCTGACACCTGACGCATCGGCGTCTGGGCTACGGCTACGGCTTGTTCAAAAATTGTGCAAGCGCGGTGGTCCGACGCTTTGCTTTGTCATGCCACAGCACACTCGCAGCCCGCATTGGTGAAAGCTGCTGTTGCACACGAAAGGTGAGGCATGGGGAGGTAGGCTGAAACTTCACATCTGAATTCTGCCCGACCAGCCTCATCCATCAGCCGAGCCCATGAAACATGGCTGCGGATTCATGCTTACGGGGGCAATATGGTTGGTTGGGGTTATCACGGCCATGGTCCGCCATGTCCGGGGCGAGTGGAGGACAAACCTGAATGCTGCGACTTCATTCATGCAATGGCGTGCTCACAATAGAACAGAATAAGCACGTTCCAGTCCTGCCCAAGACTACAGCCAGTGGTACACATCACGGGAATACCTTTACCATGTCTGCCACCCCTGCGCAGCTTGCTAGAAGCATTGCTGATGGCAGGAAGCGCAGCAAGTTTCGATAGAAATCGATGCACGGATGGAGAAATTCGAATGGACTGATACCATGCGCTCGTTTACATCGAATCCCTTTTTATGCGAAAGCCGCAGCGTGCTGCTCCACAATCCGGTTCACACTGTGCGCAAAGCTGGCCTGCACGCGAGTTGTGGATTCGCTTGTCAACACGTGACTTGCAGATGCGTCAACTGCAAGGAGCGGCACCCGGAATCCCGAAAGCATGGGCCCGACATCATTTGAATCCCGTACCGAAGTACTAATACCCCACGGCTTATCGCCCGAAGAGCAAGAGCAAATAAAAAAACAAACTAAACTCTTGAAGCTGCAGCCGGATCGTACGTAAAGCACTGAAGTAAGTAGGCGAGTCTATGCCCTAATAACGAACAAGTACAGCTTACGAGCTGATGACAGATGACTAGCTGTGTGCGGAGCCCCGGACACTTAGCAATAGGAGTATTGCGGAACTCAGGCTGCAGGGTTTGAACAACATGGTCACAGCACCTGAAGGCCTGTGTTGCTATGCTTTATTCTCTCTGCTGACACTACGGTCGGTCGGCAGCTATGTGCGAACTCGATCGCAATGTGCTTGCCTTCTAACTAGGACTGTACAGGCAAGGACATTCCCAATCGCCGTGCCTCAAGACTTTCGTGGAAAAAGTGTCAGGCATGTTGGAAATGTCCGACGCAGGGACGGAGTCACCAAAATTGAAGATGCCACTGCCATGACCGGCTTCGGGCACTGCTCCAACCGAATTGCAATGTATCTCTGAATTTGTTGCAAGGCGTACTGCAAAATCCGCGAAAAGAAAGATACTGTAGAACTGTGTTCGATGAACGGAGAATCACTGAGTCACATTTGAGGGGAGACGCCTTGGGATGACATCATTATGGCATCCACTTCGCAACTTGTGCACCTGGCTCTTGTCGATCTCCCTTCGAATCGACGGGCTGGCAGGACCCACAACGTCATGACATATGACTCATATGACCATATCACGAGTGTTTTCTACGACTGGCCATGGAATGGTCCAACGTAGCGGCATTCGGTGGCACGGGACTCGACTGCCTAGGCCCAGCCCCACCGTCCAGAGTGCTAGCAACTGTGTCTCAGCTAGGAAACGGCTTGGCAAAGACGCCCAAAGAAGCATCCTGCCCAAGCCAGGACTCTCGCTCTCCAAGATGCCCGGAACTCGTTGTTTGTCGGACTCTTGTTTTGCAGAGCCCTGGCGTGCCATGTCTTAGCCTCAAAAGTCCTCAGTTGCTGCCTTCTGACTCGATCACAATGTCCATTGGAAGAATTCTGTCTTAGCTACTTGCAGCTTGCACGTTCCTTCACCCCACTTACAATAGCCGTGAAGCAAGTTTGTCAACCACATCGTGCAGGTGCCATGAAGAGTGAGTGGCGGCTTGCATACAACTCCCTGCGGCCCTTCCACTGGAAGAACTTCCAAAGATGTGCTTGCCTCTCATTTGGTGAAAATCCCAAAAGCTAACTCCTGGTCAATCCCTAAAGATAATTGTATTGTTAGCTTTGCACTGCCCCCAGCATCTGCATCTGAGGACATGTCAAATTCGCGCTGGAAGCAGACTACAGCATACTTTTGATACCTCAGCCACTGGTAGTCAAGAGTTATGCCTGGTCGGCATTTTTGAGAGCAACTGGGTTCGGACGGCTCGCTCTTGGCGAAAACTATACAATAACGGCGGCGGGAATGTGGGAGCCACTGTCTTCACAGGCACAAGCATGCAAAAGGCACACCATCGCCGACAACCTGAGCTCGCAGGAATCAGCCCTCTCACCATGTCGGAAACACACCTCAAGGACAGCTGTCTGAATTGCAGTCCGTCGTACACTCCAGAGGCCGAGATATGTAAGCTTCTACAGTAACTTCCTAGCAGCAGATGCATCAGAGCGGCGATGTGACATGGTTTGAGAGGGTGCCCATCAAGGGCAAACACCTGCTCTGCCGGCTGGAGCTTCAAATGTTCCTTGGGCGGGGAGTTGATTGCACAGAGAAGCAAGTAAGCACACAACAATGAGCGGCAACACTACTGGCATCACTGATTCACGATATGTTCCTCCATGGTCGGGGCAACGGCAACATGTTATGCAGCGACTGGCATGCTGGATAAACTGCTTCCAAAACTCTTTCGACCTGCTGAAGCCAAGCCAACCAACTGCATGCACCTTGCTCAAAGGCTCGTTTGGTGAAGATGGCCAGTCGACACAGTACAGCAACACTTCAGACTCTGGGCTCGCTCGCGCTCCCGAAATAAGTTGACTCAACACTAACAAAGATCCTCTGCTGTGCAGCGCGAGGTACGAGCACCAAGCTTGACTAAGAGCTGTGTTAGCTTCAGCCTTGTCTGGCAGTGCGTGTGGCAGTGCCGCTAGCAAGACGTAGGGCACACGATCAAAGACACCGTGACGCAGCATGTTCTCGAAATCAAGCACGAGACGCAGCAAGATCTGCTGCCCAATTCGGCCAAGGCTCGCTTCTGAATTCAAAACATAGTGCAATGTACATAAACATTACCTGGGCGACACCGAATACAGTCAAAGGCATGCACAGCTCGAATCGGCTTCTCTGCATGCTACGTATCTCTGTCTGTGTATCCTTCCATCCATTCATCCATCCACCTACCTCTCTGCATGAATGCATGCATGCATGCATGAATGCACTGCATGCGTGCACTACATTACATTCCATTGAGTTGCACTGCGTTGTATACGTTTCATTCCTGTTTCTAGATTCTATACATACGTGGAAGTGCTGCAACCTCAGCAACCTCCATGATGGACCAGGTGATGAGGCTCGAGTTTTGCCTGCGGTGGCGACTGCTCGACAAACTTGACTAGACTCGACCACCACTTGCGCCAAAGCCACTATGGGTGGGGCCCTTTGCTCCCTGGAACTCCGTCCAGTTAGAGCATCTCCGGAGACACTTCGAGTTCCAAATGATCCTGGCAGGTCGGTAGGCAGAGCTCCGCAACATCTGCCTCACTTGCAGAAGCCGGTGGTTCAACCCCAAGCAATGCGAGATTCAAGACTTCTAGAACAAGGCTCCTCGTGTGCCACCGCCTGATCGAAATTTTGCAACAGCAGGTCATGCTCCTGCCACAGCAATCGACTTAGAAACAAGTGTGCCAAATGCCACAGACAAAACTTGAAGCAGCTATCAATCTATCAACGACTGCTAGCATCACATCCCCTCCGCAGCCAAGTTCTGCTGCACCCGTCACCCTCCCCGGAATCGGTCTTCGATGAGCTGCCGAATGCAGGGGTGCTCCTTAGTCGCAAGACGTCTTTGTCAACACAGGCTTCATGCATCAGGTACAGAAACATTCGGAATTCGGGGCCATTCCCATGTGACCAAGATGCCAGTAGCTTCAAGGACTTGCTACGGCAGCTGGGCATACCTCAAACCACGACATTTGCAAGGCTCCCAGCATCAGCGAAATGCTGCCAAGCAACCCCGCACAGCAGCAGAAAGTGCAGCGTGCTCATACCTTGGCCCGCACCCGCACGATTCTAGAACTCTCCGACTGGCCTAAACAACGTGCAAAAGAATGGGAATTGGCAGTTCCTCTTCGTGCCGTGCCAGGCTGCATCGAGTCGCCGACGCACACTATGTTCGGCCTTTCACAGCATGCCGTAGCATCAGCATGCGCAACTGAACCAAACCTTCGAGCGCAGGCCTATTCTGCCAAGAGACTGGGAAGACGGACACAGACTCACCGAGTGGCCAGAGACAGTTTGACAGGCAGTCAAAGTCTAATCGGATATCATCAAGTCGGACCACTGCCTTAAACGGGTTCAGCAGTTCCAGAACCAAACTAAGGCTCCGTACGAAAAATCGTCCGAGTGTCCGGTACCCCATGTACCACCACTTTCTTTTGTTTCGGCCGATGTTCTTACTCCAGACATATCGGAAAGTATCTGTGCACTTGTCGGTTACAAAGCTTCAAAGAGCCTGCTTACAACGCTGGCTTCACAACATGACAGGCATCGGTCAGACACGGCACTGCTTCAAAATTTCGCATATTGACTGGACTGTCCCGAACGTTCACCGGACGTGGCTGGCAAACACTCACACCTGCTGTCTTCCATCTCGTCACTGGCGGCGATGATCACATCCTGTCCATGCAGTCATGCGTGCGTTCGCTTCGGAAAACCTGGCCTGCACAATTACCCCTTAGCATTTGGGCTCAATGCTGCGCCTCTCTGCCATTCATGCCTTATACAAATGCAGCCACGGCGGCTGCAAAGGCTCGCCGCTTCCAAGCCGTAGGGGAAGCATCTCCGAGGCTCTCCTTGGCCACTGAGGCAATGACGTCTTGCTGATGCTAGCTGCTAAGAGGTCACATCACACTGCGTCAGATGATTTTGCAGATACATTTCTCTCGTTCCTGTTATGCGCTTACGTTCCCCTCTCTCTCGCTCTCTCCCTTCTCTTCTTGCAGGCTGGGCGCCGCCCAGACCCCCGGCATGTCATGCTGTGCGTCACGCATCGCTTCTTTTGGGTCCCAGCCCTGTCGCTGTACAACCGCTGTCGTGATTGGAAGGAACATCACCAAGAACCTTGAACAACGTAAATAAATACGTACGTCTTTGGCTCGTCGCCCCGTCTGGACTCAAGTTTCACTCCTCACCTGACCTGTCTGTCCCGCATCTAAACCACATCCCAGCAAACCCGATGTTTATGATCTTTTCAATGCCACATCGAAGTTTAATGAGGTCTGTTCAGATCGGTGGCAATGCGAGTTTTGAGACTTCGGGATGGTTTCGCTAGCACCATACAGGCACGCATTTGGGATCAAGCTGCCTTGCACAAACTGGGCTTGCTTGATGCCTGAACTCGACCTTCTTGTGGTGTACAGGAACCGTGAAATATCGTGAACAAGCTCGATGCAGAGTCGACATGATCTAAGCCGGGACGCTGCACAGCACTTAAGGACTTGATACCTCATCCTCGTTCATGGCCGAGCAGCATAAGTGGAACGGGCAGAAACAATATCTAATTCATCCAGGAGCGGACGCAAACCTCGGTAGCTCAGGTCAGGAGCACCACAAGATCATGGACAGCAACATCAAAAATCATGCGGGCATCCCCTTGTTGCCAGAATGAGCATACATACAGACATACATACATACATACATACATACATACATACATACATACATACATACCATTACATACTGTTACATACATACAGTTACATTCATACATTACATTACATTATCATTACATTACATTACATTGCATTGCATTACATTACATCACATTACATGCGTGCAAGGTACATTCATACAGATGTAGTACACCCTAAACCCTAAACCGTGTCCTTGCCTGCTACGGGATTACTGTGCCGACTGGAAGCCTGGAAGGAAAGCTGCACAGCTTGTCTCCACCCATCCCTCCAACGCATTCGTCACAATAACGACCCTGCCATACGCCATGGCCTGAGCCGCCACGGAAGTGAAAAATACTGGCGCAATCGTTCCCAACGCTCAGGGTGGCTCCGAGCTATGTGCCGGTCGCTCGAAGTCACTTTGCATGCGATGTCTTCATGCTGCAGTGCCAAGTTCCAGGCCGTCAGTAAAGTCTGTTCCTGCCAGAAGAAAGCACCGAATGGGAGGAACGTTACAACAATGCAAGAACCGACAGAAAAAATCGTCATTGCGGCCACGCCGCAACTTTGACCTCCAGCTCTTGTAGCAAGACCTGCTGCTCTCGAGTCAAGCTGACTTCCTTGGTCATTGCTGGATTCTACAGGCCACTTCGCCAAGGCAAGCCCCCAAACAGCCACTCTCTCTTCAGCAGAGCTGCATCGACGGAATCTAAACCACCATCCTCGTTCAACCAACCCTGGCAGACTCTCAACCGGTGATGCGACTTGTGCACACATTCGACTTCCTTACTGCAGCAGCTGTGACTTCTTCAAACGGCATGCCGTCAAATCCTCTATATTTTACGAAGCGCGTACGGAGTGATGTCATGATATTCCTCTTCCATGACCCGGTGCCATGGCACATGCAAAGTGCCTCAAGTTCTGTACGATAGCCAGTTTTGCACAACTCAGGCCTGCCGAGAAATCCAGCTGGTTGGAAGCAGCGTGTCATCCCAATCGAAGAACCTTGGTCGAAGGTTGTCGGAAGAGGCATAACTGATGAGTTTGCTACATCAAGCAGAGCTTGGAAATACTGTACTTGTACGAATCTATGCCCCACATTCTTAGAATTCATCACGTCGGCCACAACCTTGGAGCTGGAAGCAGACCTTGCTCCAGTAAGGAAGCCGAGAGACAGAAGGGCTTCGGGAGCATCGAAGCTTTTTGGACTCTCGCCCGAAACATCGCTGCAGTCCTTGCATACTGGCATACATCAGGACGCTGCAGCCACACCACATGTGTTTTGTTGCAGTATGACATCACCAGGATAAGGGCAGAGAAGAAGGCTATACGGGCTATACGTCTCCCCTTTGCGTAAACTCGACACTCACCTGATTGGCATTGAATTAGCGGAAAGGCGGCCTCGTCTCTAAGTCAGTCCAAGGCTCTGTGCTCAAGCACAACTCTGAGTTCTCTGAAATGGTTTCCAGACAGGAATTGAACTTGAGATCTCCTTAGTAGGCCATGGCTGGACGCTCCCAGCGTTTCTGCAGGGTCTGAGCCGTAGACTCATCGCATCTGCATAGGCAAGGGACGCCATTGCTACAATCTAATCTGGCGCTGGTGCCCGGTGTTACTCCCGGTGTTGAAACGCACTGCGACATCGTGCAGGAAGTGAGACTTTGAAGACATCGATGCTGGAGCTGAGGGTGAAGGGTGAAGTTGAATCGAGGGGTGACAGCGCCGGTTAGGACCTACGCAAAATGCAAAACGGCTGTGGCGTGCATGAAGGAAACTCGCTGCCTTCCCCAACGTGCCCCGAACTGGTGCGGCTCAAACCGTCCAGCTCTTGATCTTCCTCCGAAGCTACGGAGTCGTAGACGTGAAGTTCTGAAATAGAACGTGCCTTCCCCAATCCGCTGTAGAAGGGATTGGAGGCTGCATCCACATAGAGCAAATTCACTTGCCTGGCGTGGAAGACAAGCTCAGCTTCAAGCCTCAAGATCCCATCTCTGACGCATCAAACGGTGACCGTGCGAACCTCAACATTGACCGGAGGATCGCTTCCTCATCTCGGCGCTGTCGGCATGCCTGAAATGGCACAACATGGTGTCGATATGGCAGATGATGATACACCTCCATTGACCTGCCCCATGCCAAGAGTCGAAATCGGTGCCCCTGCAATGCACCCAATGCAGTTGCGAGGCTTCGCGCCGTTTCGCACGACAATAGACAAAGCCGGGGCAGCATCAAGAAGAGAAGTAGAATGCCCCGGTGTACGTAAACATGAGAGGCTGGCAGGCGAGTAAATGAAGGGCAGTCGGTGAAGATTGCATCAGAACCCTACGATCAAGATTCAGTCGGACTGTTGGCACTTCAGGCACGGAAGACACACCAGCGTGGAAAGCAGTATCTACGTGATCATTTCACCAAGGGCCCGGCTCCATCGCGAACGATAGCAAGAACCTGAGAGAAGAAGACCAAAAACTGCCAAAGATGGGATGGCCCCGGCAAACTGCAGCAATAGTCATGTCATGACATCTCCCGGGAAGCCAACTTTGACGCGTGTCGCAGCGACGTATCCATAGATGTTGCAGTCCTCAACAAAAGCATGTGGCAACATTCAAACAAAAAGAAAATGCCCGAGAAAGCCATTCACTGTGGATCACTACAGTGCACTGGTGTCACAATTTTCGTGGGCACAATAAATCAAGACAACTTCTTGGGCCCCCATGCACCAACGAATTCGAGAACATGTTATATCATGCAAAAATACATGTGGCAAGCGAGGCAAGCTGAGAAGATTCAAGCCCTCCCCTCCATACAGGATGGAATGCCATACCTACATTTGCAAAATGATAAGGCGAGGATTGATGCAGTTCGGGCATGTGCACGTACCATAGGAATTTATGCACAGGGATGCGGAAGACTGGTGACCGGAGCTCGGGTCGCTGACGGAGGAGCTTGGACTGCGGCACAAGCCTAAAATTCTCATGATACCGGAGTGTGAGGAGTGCGCCAGGGACTTGCTGTGGGCCGTCCTGGGCGTCGAAAAGCGCCGGGGAGAGAAGGCCCAGATAAGGATCGGAGCCCTTCGCCTGGCTCAGAATTGCAACGGACAAGACCACAGAGGAAAAAGATGAGAACAAGATGAGGGCAGTCGGAGACAGGATCCCCAACTCCTGAGCTGCGACATGCTTCCACATGCCCTGGAAGCGCCTCACCCTTCAATAATGCTTGCGCCACGCTTTGCATCTGCACCTCGGCCGGAGAGAACGCAGCCCATGCAAGGCCCACTAAAGGCCACAACGCGGCGCATGCTCACAGACCAGACATCCCGAACTGTTTCCCTTGTGACGGAGAAGCCTCCACCTGGTCCAGTGAAGCGTGCAGCAGGAGCTGAAGCCTTCACAAGTGCCAAGGCCAAGGAAAAAATGCAGAAGCAAAGCAGCATTCTCAACCCTCGCGGAAGGAGAGCCAGTGCTTGGCTCAGGCGCTAGCTCCAGGTCATCAGCATCGGGTGGAACGGCCTCAACAAGTCCCGGACAAAAAGCAGCAAGAGTCTGCAACGATCGTAAAAACGCTTCGGAAGAACAAAAATTTCCCAGCACATGAGCTGATTCACCTCCACACACGATACGACAGGAGGCATCGGCAGTAGTAGCTTCCAGGTCTAACTGCCTTCGGACCTGTTTGCCCATGCAAGACGTACTACAGTCTTCGGGACCGTTTCCGTCCATGCTCGGACTCCCATTGCACCTTCCACCCGAGTCCAAGACCATTTTTCTCCGGAAGCTGCGGAAGAACAGGAGGCTTCCGTCCCTGCCTCAGAGTCGGACTGAGGCCGGTGCTTGTGTCTTGCTGCGATGCACACCGATGTTCGAACATTATTGGAACATGTGGTGTCATGAACTTGCGGCAGCACCGGCAAGCTCGAGCCCTGCACCCACAATGGCGACGCAAAGCACAGGTGGTTCCTGCGGCACATCGGAGAACGGGCTTCTTGTGGGACTGCGCTGCTTGTACGAGTGTTTGCGTGGCGGCACGAACCGGCCTCTGCAGGGGAGGGAGCTGGCGCCATTGCCAGGCTGGCACTGCGAGAGCACCGCACAGTGCACGCACTGAAAGTGAGAAAAGCTTGTGTGCTCTGGTCCTCATACTGTCGCTAGACGACAAAGATGAAACTGACTTGCCCCTACTGCGTCGCGATTTTACAAGGAGACACTTATCAATGAATGTGACGGAAAGCTGCCACTAGGTCGCCGCTACTCTTCGGCTAGGCCTAGAGCAAGAGCCACCAGTGCTGCGGATCCTTCTCCTGGGCTACGACCCAAACTGCTCGGAAAGCCGACGATGGGAAGCAGCCTCTGTCGACCTCGCCTTGTGCAACCGCCAAGATTGACGCACTGGCACGTCCTCCATTTTCGCTGGAAACTAGAAGTATTGCAGGCCGAGGGCTTTGCGCACCTGGCGGTATTGCGGAAGAAAATCAGACTCAACCCAGTCGTAAAGGTTTTGTTTGCATGTGTCTCATGACCACCTTGCAAGGACATGCGCGAGACATGCGGATGATCACAACAGCCGACTCATTCGACGAATCCAACTTCTGGCAATCATGCACTTGTTCCAAGATGCATGCAGTCCCTTCATCCACCTGCTCCAGGAGCGGAAAAGTCAGGATGGCATGAGGTCCTGCCCCACGGGTAGCTTCTTGATCACGGGAAAAAGCTGCCACTAACGCCGCGAATACCATGTCGCAACCTGCCTAGGCGGCAGTATGCCGGCCACCAACCGCGGAAGAGACTGGCAGGCCCCTGGCACAGAAATGGGAAGGGCGAGCAAGCGGACATGCATGGCATCCGGGTCACCTCCGACTGTATGATTGACATCAAGGCATCCAGGAAGCCACGAGGGAAGCGTGTTCCTGCAGATCATGTGTGGCCGTACTGGGCCGCACTCATTGTGCCAGTTCGCCGATACAAATCTTGGATCACAAATTTAAGCCCACTGCCATCATCTGCCATGACACAGCTCTTCAGCGTGTCGAAGGGCGCGGCCACAGTTGTGGCCACTACTCCTGCAACGTTGCTGTCCGAGCAATGCCGCTGACACAGTTCAGTTCGAAACCTGCCGATCATCACATGACGGAGAAACGTCAGCAACATGTCAGCCTTTCCTGTGATCAGAGATGTCGCGACATGCAGGGAAAATGGCTCGCGCCGGCCATCACGAGCAGCACTCTCGACACCTGCCCGCTGCATGCAAAGCATCGTGACAGAGCCGTATCTGTGAACACATCACCAAGGCTGGTCAAGAAATTTCTGTCTTCAACCTGTGGGCTCGGAAAGCCTACTGGTAACACAAAGCCCATCCGTGCTCCCTGTCGTCTCCTCCCACATGATACAATGCTTCAACTCGAGCACTTTGGCGTAGGAACAGCCCCTCGAATCCCTCGACACCCTGCTGCGGAATCTTGCGTCTTTCTTCTGAATCCTCTACCACACAAGAGAGAGACTAAAGGTTCAGAGGCCCGAAGTTCCAGGCTCGACCGAGCTAAGCCTTGAGCCCTTCTGAGTTTCATTCTGTGTCTATACACACTCTGTGACACTGTGAAGTGCCTGGCCAGTGCCTGCGAAGCGTAGTCTTGGTCTGGTCATAGGTCGTTACCTGGTGGCAGCATCAAACGTGCAGCCGCACAACACCGACACTACTACTGACCATGGAAAGCGAAGCAAACACCACCCTTTCTAAGCAACGGTCATGGCGTCTTCGACATGCGCTTCAACCAATGCACAAAAAACTCGTCCATGAATCACGACACGCAAGCTCTCCCATGAATTCCCAATTCGGGGTCACGCAGTGATCTGGCTATCACAACATGCTGCGGAAGCGACCGCGCGGGTGGGGCTTGGTGCGTGTATGTGCGTGCACTACACGCGTCAAGGCCATGCAGGCCGCCCTCCGCTGCTCCAACCCCATGCATTAAGACGTCGGAGCTTGTACTGACACCCCTGAAGCTCCCCTTTTCCGAGATCCTGAGACAAAGATCCAAACTTCAAACTGCAAACCGGCAGCAACCGGAGCGCTCCGCCTCTCCGATGGCGATGGCGGCGCCTCGCGGTGCCGAGGCGCTGACGCCCCTCACCAGGAGGCCTCGGCCAAGGGCATCGGGGCCACCTCTGGGGTAGATCTCGGCTCCTGTACCCCGTCCCGATCCTTGGTCGTAGGCCTCGCACAAAGCCTTCATTCCGGGCAATCTCCGCGGCGGCAGAAAAGACTCCTGACATGTGTAGTGATCAAAGCTTCAAGGCCCGGGGGCTGTCGATGAGAGGCAAGTGGAATAAGCTTCTGCCCGCTGAGCCTGGATAGCGGCCAGGCTCTGCAAACAGTCGTACCTGGCGTAGTGCAAGTTGGGAAGTCGTGAAGCTCTGAACCAATGCGCCACCCAAACATATACCTTTACTAGCACGCATGAGGCCTTCACGACGTCCGGGCCGTTCGCGCAGAGAGAGCCACCTAGACCAGTGGCGGCGGCGGCCGCTACTCGATGACCTCGGAGACCCGGAACGCGAGTACTCCTCGCGAGAGGTCTCGAGCTCTCCCAGAGCTCGATTACAACAATTGCGACAAGAGGCGGGTCTCAAATCACACTGTAAATCTCTATATCACCGTCCGAACTCTGGCAGGTGGTTGCTGTTGGACTGCGTACCATACTGCGTCCCCGAGGAGCCGACCTAAGTGCGGCTCGGAGTCACGAGGCGAGACCTCGTCGAGACTTCAACTCGCTCTGTTTGGCTCTGCTTGTCTCAGTCCCAGGCGAGATCTCGCGCCAGCGGATACAGACCCTTTGTGTACCCGCTGTAGAGCCTCAAGACAGGCCGCGGCCAGGCCCGAAGACGAACCCCAAGAAAGGCCCGCGCAGCTCTCGAAGGAGGGAGGCCGTCAATCCAGGCCTGGCGAGATGCCATCTCTTCAGAGCCAAAGCGAGCGACTTCCCGAAAAGTGCACGAAGTGAAGGCCCCCAAGTGACCTCCAAAGGCCTTGCCAGGCACCATGCTGTCGATAAGCAGCGCGGACCTGTTTACCATTCTTAGAATGGTTACCCGCCCCTCGCAACTCGATGCATCCGACTTCAAGAAACTCAAGACCAGCAGCCCGACTTGCGACGTGCACTGCATACACTGCATTCAGCCCTCCAGGCCCTGCGACATCCTGCGACCCTCTCCTGCTATGGCTTAGGAAGGCTTAGGAAAGCGAAGAAACGAATGTTAAAACAGCAACTGACCTCCTGCAACGCTGTTCGCGGAATGCCAACCTGTCTTCGAGTCTTTACCTGGGCTGTAGCGGTAGCGATGAGCTGACTGGGGGAGTGAGGCGCTCCGAGAACCCTGTCACAAGAACCAACCATTTCGGCAAAGCTGTCAGGACCGAGCGCCAACTGAGCCAATGCCGAAGCCGCTCATCGCTCACATCCAAGCTTCTGGCGACGTCGATTGGATTTAGCACCGCCGACACCGCCGCTGTGGAGACCCCGCCAGCCACGATATCTCGGACGACCTATTGTACAAGATGGGGCTTCACTGGGCTGCAGAAACAGCCGGTGCAAGTCACAGCCAGTCAGAGCATTGCTTGGCCGCAGCCTTTGAATGCGGTCTTGGGCTGGTGGTCTTTGCAGTTGCACAGCTGGACCGGCGACCGATGCAGCTCTTCAGAGTGTTTGCAAAACGTGGTCTCGAAGGATCCTTGAGGTTGCTCTACGTCTACATGCCAGAGGACGTGTTTCGAGATTGCAAAAGCTTGTAGAAGCTCGCGAGAAGACACCGGTCACCGATCTGGCTGCACGTGCTGAAGGCTGACAGTCTTTGTCAACATCCGGCAGGCTGTTGCCCAGTTTTCGAAAGCATTCGCTCATCTTGGCCATGTAGCAAGCGCAGTGCTCGAACAATGCAGCTACAGGCAAAGAGGGCACTGTATGTACAGCAGGGAGGTTGGAACAATGCCCCCTCCCAGGTCCAGATAGCCCTTCAGTCTTCAGCCACAACTTCCGGCTACGACTCAGACTGCAAGCTGCCGGGTGCCCAGTAGTCCCGATACCTGTGGCAAGTCCCAACTGGAGACTCTCAAGCTCCGGCAATTCGCGGGGGTGCAGGCAGACGACTGCAGGGCGCACTCTTCCAGCCAAACAAAGAGTGTTTTCTGAACCTCCTGAAAGAGCCTCAGGAGTGCAACAGTGTATGTTATCGCTTCTCTTCTTACCGCCGAAAGTTTCGAAGGCGACAGTGTGCTTATCGTCTAGGATGTTTCTGCATAATTTCCGTAGGCATATTTGCAAGGAGAAGTTCAAGGGGGCACGTCCGTGATTCAGTGTTTCTGCCTCCTCGCACAAGCATGCTCCAATGCAAAGCCTGAGTCGGCACAGATCCGGTCTATGGCGACCGCTCGCAACTTCTCGCGACCCTCCCCGGGAAGCACCTCTCGCGGAGCTCTTCGCACCTGGAGAGGTCGCAGCTCTCAGTTCAGAAGCGAGAGGAGCCTTCGCAGCGAGCGGCAGCTGCTCCAGCTGCTTGAACTTCGCGTCGTCCGTATTGTCGCCTTTGTGGCGCCTGAGTCTTTGGGGCCCTCCCGCCCTCCCCGTGATGGGCCGGGGATTCGGGTCTCGACTTCGCAGATGAAGGGTTTCGGGTGTTCCTTCGTAGGATTCGAGGCCTCTCAACGGCTTGGGCAAAGACAAGCTGAAAGGCAGCACTTCTCCACGTGCATGCTGTGCTCTAGGATTAACCCAGAGCTTTGGGATAAATCCTGTGGCCCCGTGCCGTTTCACTTTGACGAGAAGTGGCCACCTGAGTCAACAGCTTGCAGTCACTAGCAATCTTTAACCCTCACGAGAATCAATGTGAGAATCAACAACCTATCCATGTGAAGCAACGCAGCTAATGAGAGTTTGGCTGGATAGGCTTATGCATTGTTCTGAGGCAGCTGCTGGCCATCTGCAGGAATTTCCTCCGAGCTGAACTCCCTGGCCGTAACATGTCGGTTTCACGTTCGGCATCGTGATGACAGTTCTGATATCATCCAATCCACCGGCGAGGCCTTATCTTCACGGTGCCGCCGATGACGCTGTTCTTGGTCACAGATGCTGGAGCCTTGCGAAGGTCGCCAAAGAGGGCAGAAGTAGCTCTTAGTCTAGCAGTGACTTTAGAGTTACCCAACCGAAGCACCAAACTGCCCCTTCATCCGAAGATCGCCAGCCTTCTGCTCATTGTCCAAAGAGGCGGCCTTTGCAGGGCCGAAATGAACTGCAACTCTTTCTAAGTTCTAAGACAAATACGTTGACTCCTTCGACCGCTCAAAACTCTCAAACTATTTTTCACCGGAGCCTCAATCAACTCATCCGCGGTGCGGTAGGACCTTCTGGATGGAGGGAGCACTCAAGCTCGACAACATGGTCTTGAATTGAACCAGCATGCGTAAATGCCGAGAGGAATCGAAGAGCAGGCCTTGTGTTTATGTTTATGCCAAAGCTTGACGCGCTTTGACACTTTCCACTCGTGCGGAGCTTGGGGGAATGAAGCCGTAGTCAACATCTGAGTTCAATACACGACGCAGGTGGGGGGGTATCGTATCAATTTGTAAGAACATCTATGAAGATCTGCTCAGGCTCTGGCTTATCACCATCGACAGCCACGTGCACCTTCGACGAGTTGGCACGGATCGCGGAAGGTGAGCGGCCGCACGATATGCCACGGTGGGTCTGGTAGAGGTTCGATCTGACCCTCCTCGCCCCCCGGTGCAGCATGCGGTACGGAAAACTGGTCCTGACGCCCGGATTTTGCAGGATACGGATTCGACGACAGGCTAGAACGGCCTCCCAGTCCATTTTCAGGAAGTAGTCGAAGTAGTGCAACGGCTGCTTCTGAAAAGAATGAACATGAGGAGCGGCAGCAAGTATCATTGTATTATGTCTGCTCACACTTGCATCGTTGCGGATACAGCCAACCCTGAAAGCCTGGCACAGGTGCTCAGAAGACGTCGTCTCTCGTGTGCCTGCCGGTTGAGATTGATCACCGCAGCGTCGCCCTCCAACTTCCTCAGATCCAGCTCTTGCCACTCCCACTCTTCCGGTCGCCCGGTAGGACGGTTGTCTGCGGACCCAAAGCCAAGTCGCAGAACGTCCGTGATGAGAGCCCGAAGCATGCATGTCTTCTCCGTGGGCTCCTGCGAGGCTGTGCTAGGCACACCGACATTGCAGCAACGGTGTGCCGCCGCTGAAGCCCCCCTCCCCCCTCATGCAGGCAACGCTTTCGTATGGATTATCTACATAGCGATTGGCTGAAATCAGCCTGATTACCTTTCCTTCCATAGCATGAAACATGGACTCACAGCAGTCGAAGAGAACTTTTGAACTGCAAGCGATGTGCCAAGTCTCCTGCCAGCTGCTTTGAGCTGCTTGGAAATTGTGACCCGACACGAAACAGGCTGCTGACACGGAGCTAAGACCAGCTGGCTTGCTGCAGGCAAACACCTCAGTATGGACCCCCCCTTTCCAGCAACTTAGGAGTTCTTTTCTTCTTGCCGGCTTCGCAACTTCGACAATGGAAATACTATCCTTTGAAGCACATTCAACCTTCTACTTCTACTCGCAGACGGAAGTGGCGTGTTGTGACTAGCGCCGAGCCATGTCTCTCTCAGCCTCTCCTAAAAGCTGGCCGAGGCTCCATGCACCCAGCCGAGGTCTGCATGCGGCTCCTGCTAGGTATAAAAACTGGATACAAGTATGAAGAACTCAACATAGGCTCACGGCTCAGACAAAACAGGCGAGGAACAACGAAGCGACATTGTCAGATCCCTGTTCCTAGACGTGCAGCCCTAGACTGCATCTGACACTCGTCCTTCTCCTCAAGACATTGTGGTTTTCAACATGCGGCTTCAGCCAACAAGCGCATCAGAAATGAGTGCCGAGACAGAAAACAAGCACAGATGTCGTGCACAAGCCCCTCGAGAGCCCTCATCAACACAGGCAGGGACACCGGTACTGTGCCACCGCGCTTGGAGCTGCGGCCACAGATGATGCACTCAGGCAGCTGCTCCTGGCTGCAATCCGCAGCTTCTTGGATCTTCTGAGTCTTGGGCCTCAAGGATAGCCTCCGCGTCTGGCTCCGTATCCCTGCTTAGCCTAGGCCTATAGGCTGTTGCTGCTTGCCTCTGAATTCCTGCATCCACTGGCCTGGCCCTCGAGATAGCACTGGGCCAGGCGTGGAGCCTCCGTGCGTGGCTCTGAGGTGGCCGTGCCATCCTGGCAATCGCCGCGGGTTCACCGCTACGGATCAGCTTCTACGACTTGTCGCTTTTCATTGGCTAATCCATGTTCCCTAGTCAGTTTCTCAATGCCGCACGTTCTGCATGTCAGTGTTGGGCCTTCACTGGCGGTGACTGGTCATGACACTCCCTTGGTAAACCAGTCACCTGCTGGTCTGGATCTAACGCTGATATGACATGATATGACTGGGATGAAGTCTCTATCAGCGTCGCGCATCGTGGCGCATTCCGAGTGATCAGAAACACCTACGAAACACAATCGCACGCAGAGCAGGCCTCCGAAGCGCTACGCTTCCGCGCGGAAGCCGCGGGCTCCGGCCGGCACTGGCAGGAGGACGGCTTGGAGCATAGCGGGTCGGGTTACATGAACTTTAGGGTGGCGCTTGTCGCAAGGAACTGCTACTCGGTTTGTCTTGACGCGCGGACCGGCGTTTCCAAGCGTCTTCCGTACAGGCTGGAGGGAGGCACCATGGTGAGATGCACACGTGATTTTCACACGTCCTCAATATTCGGTCAAGTTGCTGATGAAGAAGCCGCTGCCGTTCCAAACGCGGATGCAGACATCGTGGAAGAGGACGAGGCAGACCTCGGGTCTGAAAGCAACCGCCTGCGAATGAAATGAGCTTCTTGCTTCATATGGAACATGTCAGATGCACCACTACGCAGTGGCCACCAACACTGCTACTACCAGTTGCATCAGGCTTGCCACTGCAATGAAATCACAGTCAGAGCACGCTTGTGGCGCATCTCCTTCCAGCCAGGAGACGAGCTGCGAGGCGGCCCTAGCAGAAGAGTGACAGTTGGAAGACTTGCCACTTGTCGCATTCAAAACCCCGCCCAAAAAAGCATGAAAAAGCCACTGGCACGGCCCAGGGGCCTCTCGATGTCTCCTGAGCTAACACAAGTACGGGAGAGAAAGTTTACGATGGCGGTGCCGCACACGAAAAACTCAACAGTTTACTTCACTAACTGAGGCTCCGGAGTGGCGAATCAAAGCCTCGCGACGGAGGTCTGCAGGTACCGGCAGCAGCTCCTCGGACTTGGGCCGAGCTCTCGAGTCCAAGGCTTGGTACCATGCCCTTTGAAACGTGTCGAGCTCTAGCTCAACACCTCGCTGCTTGTCGCGTGCTTCCACTTAACTGTGCAGAGTGTCGCCCAATTGCCGCACGGCAGCTTCCAGAGCCTCACAGCAGCGTCGGGTCAGGGCGGTCAGGCCTGCAAGGAGCTTTCAGCTGCCTCCTCCTCCAGGGCTTTTGCACTGCCATTCGTCAGAGCCAAGGGCGCTGACTCCGAGCCTGGCGATGGAAGTTAGATGACGGACCGCCGTGGTTCAGAAATCATTCTTATGAAAACTGCTTGTGAACTGTTCTCATGAGTGAAAAGAAACTGATAGGCAGGGCCCGGCCTGCTCCCTTGCCAGCCCAGGCTTTCAGGGCCGACTTCCCGGCAGCCTCCTTTATCGGGTCGGATGCGTGTCACGACAAGAAACACCTACTGTCGGCGACGGTACAACGACACGACAAGAAGTGCTAGTTGGAACACAGCGAGGAGAACTGCATCAACTGGCAGGATGCCGGCTTCAAGATTGACCCCTTGAGCTGGAGTGCTGCTGACAAGGGCTGCGTCCTCGGACTGTGACGAGAGCGTCGTAACCGCATCCACCAGCGCGGCGGACGGATGCGCAAGAGGGTACTTGCCTTCGCTCAGCAAAGAGTCTGCGGTGGCGCTACAAGTAGTCGGCTACGGAATGAAAAGTCTCACCTACCCAGGAGACATGCGACCGAGCATCGCCGTACTGACTTCAGCGCAGCAGCAAACGAGAGCCCTGACCGCGCTCCAGGGTGGGCGGGTGTTTATGCATTGTTCAGCACGGATCCACTTCACACAGTCATTTCGCAATACCCTAAAGGTTTGACTTGCAAGTCATACAGAAACATCTGAGAGGAAGTGCCTTGGTCCGCCATGATGTAGCCTGACACGACAGTGCAAGAAGACATCAGCCGAAATAGTCCGCGGGCAGCCCCCGAAGAGGCGGCATATATAATTCAATACGAGGACTTATTCCACGGTTCAGGGCCTCTCATCGAGGATCGACTGAGAATCAGACCCATGGCCAGAGCCGCTGGTCTGGATCGGCCGTGGGTGCCGTAGATGAGACAGCGGCACCTACACCCGAGCAGGTCAGCGCGAGTGATTCACGCAGCGGACTTGATGCTGCGAACAGACATTCCATGATCGTGAAGCTTTCTTGTGCAACCTCCATCTGAGGCGGGGGACCCGTCAGCACGAGCTGAGCGGAGGAAGTGAAGCCTATGCGCACCGCGAAAAAAGCTGAATGCAACAGCTGCACGCAAAGAGCAGATGAGTTCACAACTGTGCGGACCTAAAATTGCGGCACAAGCGGCAAATGCATCCAGTGGCCTGCAAGCTCCTACAGATGTTGGACGGACTGAGCTTTGATTTTCGGCCACTCAGCGACTCAGGCACGAGAGCATACGGCACAGGCCCGACCTTGGGCTTCAATTCACGATTTTATGTCTGAGCTCAGTATCATCAACCAATACATGTCAATCCTCGATCTCTACAGACCCGGAGCGGGCCACAGCTGGTGGTGTCTTCAGATTCAACTAGAAGCGAACATTAACAACAACATCTTACAACACAGAGACATCATGAGACATAAATCTCTCCATATATATATATATATATGTGTGTGTGTGTACACACACACACGTACATACATACATCTACATCTACATTTACATATACACAAACATATACATGTACACATATGTACATACATTTACATACATACATACATACATACATACATACATACATACATAAACATAAACATAAACATAAACATAAACATAAACATAAACATAAACATAAACATAAACATAAACATAAACATAAACATAAGCATAAACATAAACATCAACGTAAACGTAAACGTATACGTAGACATATACATACATATACATAATACATACCTACGTACGTACATACGTACGTAGGGATAGTACATTACATGGTAGGAGTGATTTTGCGTTGCCGTTGCTGCTTTTTTGGTGTTGCTGCGTTTTTTTTGTTTTGTTGTTGCTGCCGGTTTTTGTTTGTTGTTGTTGCTGCGGGGTGTGTTTTTTGCTGTTGGTGCCGGGTAGGGGGTGTTTTTTTTTTCTGTTGCTGCTAGGTTTTGTCCTTTTTTTTGCTGTTGCTGCGGGTGGTGTTTTTTTGCTGTTGCTGCAGGGGTGTGTGTTTTGTTTGCTGTTGCTGTGGGGGGCGTTTTTTTTTTTTGCTGTTGCTGTGGGGGGGCGGTTTTTTTGTTGGCCGTTGCTACGGGGGCGGTGTTCTTTTTTTTTGCTTGCTGTTGCTGCGGGGGGGGGGGTTGCTGCGCGGGGGGGGTGTTGTTTTTGTGTTGTTGCTGCGGGTTTTGTGTTTTTTGGGTGTGGGGGTGTTTGCTTTTGCTGTTGCTGCGGGGAGGGGGGGGTGTTTTATTTGCTGTTGCTGCAGTGGGAATGTTTTCTTTTTTGCTGTTGCTGCCAGGGGTGTCTTTTTTTTTTGCTGTTGCTGCCGCGGGGGTGTTTTTGCTGTTTAGGCCCCCACCGGCAGTTCACTCACTTGCTGGTTCGCCGAGCCTTGCACAACAACAAAAAAGCAGTAACAGCAAAAAACACCCGTTCCTACATTACATTGCATTCCATTCCATTACATTTCAATGCATTACGTTACATACATTTACATACATGCAGACATACATATGTATACGTATGTAAACACCTGCTTAGATGGAGACCATCAAGCGATACCGGTAAACCATTCCAAGATCCATCCGCTGCCCATGTCTCATACGCCAAGGATCCGATAGGCCAGCTCTGGCTGTCAGCGGCACCCGCAGCCGGCGTGAGGGCGCACTCCTGAGGCACACATTCATGTCATGCCCACCTTCTACTATAGTAAACCTCCCCAAGGAACCATCTGACCGTTTTCTGTTGACAGTGCGATGACAAGGTCATTCCATGGGCACATGGGGACAGAATCACCGGCATCAATCAGCAGCTGAGGCATAAAGCGTGTGTTTGTGTACCACAATGAGGGAGAGCGATATGAGCTTGCCCTATACTTGCTACTGCACAGGCATCGGGAGAACGACGACGACGATTAGGATGACCAGCATGCCCCCACAACCACCACCAGCACTTCCACCACCGCCACAAACAACAACTGCACCATCACTTCATCATCGGATCGGCAACGGCGATGGCGACTGCGGGGCACCACAATGGAGAGGATTCCAATGGAACAGGTTTAGGCTGGGTTTAGGCTTCTCAGCTAGGTCCAGAAACAACGGACACCTTGCTGACTTCATCATCACATGTATCTACCGGAACCAATAGGGGAATTCAAGTTCCCAGGATTCCCGAACAAGTCGAAGTTACAAGAAAGGCTACACGTGGCTACACCAAAAGAAGGCCGCCTACTGCAGCGAATCTGCGTGCCAGCAGCTAAGACTAGTTAGAGACACGTCAAAGAAGCGACCAACTACCGGGGTTCTTGCTGGGGCCACAATAGACCTGCGAACCGAGCATTTCGCATGATATCGAAGACCCCAGGGTCGGAGAGAAGGGCAGCGAGGCTGTAGCGTTCACCAGGCAGTCCTGAGCTCGCCACAAGCTTCTTGGGGAAGGTCCAAACGAGACCAAAAAAGCCTTGACTCTGCACTAGAATCTACTAGATCATGAAAAGCCTCTTAAGCGTGACTGTCTGACCACCATGCCTTGCTCGCCTTGCAGAAGCCAAAAGATTCATCAGAACCCGGCACCCGCTGCAGTTGACGCTTCCGTTGGACCTTTACTGACACCTGCCAGCTCCTTCGGGCCAAGGTTCGAAAGCAGACCTTCGCTCAAGACAGCACACGGCACCGGCATCAGCCAAGTGAGCACATCAACGCAGGCAAATCTCAGAGCTTTGCTCATGATCTCATGATCTCCAAGCCGCTCCGCGACTCCTTGCGCAGCATCTGCATTGCCGAGGGAGAGGAAGCCCTCAACCACCTGCAGCCCCGGCGCAGCGGAAAGTAATGGCTTACAGGAGTTCGCCCTGGCTGCGCAAGTGTAGAAAATGCAAGCTCGCACTGACTATGCAATCACGATGGGTTGCGAACCAATAGTATCTTTCATGACAGGAATCCCAAGCTGAGACCTGGCAAAGCGAAGCCTCGGCTGAAGCTGGAGGCAGCACCACCAAGGGATCCAAGCCTCGGAGACTCAGGAACGTTCGGAGAGAGTTCGGGGCCGCAGCGCACAACGGCACATGAAATCGGAAGGGAGACTTGCCAGCAGCAGCCATGGGAAGAGGGGCGTGATTGAGATTGGATCAAGCTGCCTGGCTCTATGAGCTCGCTTGCTGCCGTCTCCTCGCAAAACTGCCCAGTAACGGTGCCAATCAGAGTGCGTGATATCCCGACCACTATATCTGCGTGCGATGTCTACGAATGCTGAGGGCCACTGGGTCGGGAATGACCACTCCGTTTTGAATTCCCAATCTCCGTCTCCAAACGCGCTAGGGCTGCTAGCACTGCGGAGCTCGGGGAAGCGCACCTTAGATTTGCGCCGCAAAAGGCATTGAACGTGGTTTCTGGAACGCAAAATCAGCGAACCCGCAAGCCGTCGCCCTGTATACTTAGTCTGTTCAGCTGTGCATCGGTCGCCTTCCGTGGATTGCCTCCAGTTTGAATCATGAACCATGTCATGTTGCATGGTGCTTTGATTCGCACCCCACTCAACTGCAAAGCTGATAGACTGTTGGATCACTTGGTGCACCCTGTGCCCGTGACCTTCACCGCTTCCGCAGCAGTCCACTGTTGTCGGACCTAGGTGGCAAGCGTTTCAGACCGTTGTACATCAGTAAGGAGCGAATTCACAGATGTTCAAATGAACGAGTTTGTTAAAGCAAATGCCGCATCGAAGCCTCTTGCCGAAAGCCTGGGGCCTCAAGCTCAAGCAAGTGCAGATTTCCGGACAAGCCTGCGAGGATGGATTTAGGATGCTGCTGTTGTGGATTTGCAGTGTGAACAACTGTTTATGATCAGCATGACTCCAGGTGGCAAGAAGAGCCGCTATCACAGCTGCTGCCTCCATGGCAATGCGTTCAATCATCGGTTGAAGTGCTCAGAGCAGTTGATGCAACTGGTACACAAGTCGCTGGCAGCTACCAGGTGCGTCAGAAAAGACTCAGACAGAAGTGCTCCTATATGTAAAGTTCTTATGGTTGGACTTGGAATTGCCTGTGATTCATGTCTGAAACCCATAATAAACACGAGAACCCCAGACGGATGAAACGTGCCTGCCCGCTCTGCTCTGCACCTGACGGATGGGAAAAAATCAAGCACTTGAACACCTTCGGGCACATGTGCCTAGTGCACTCAGCGCCCTTGCTTTTCCTTCCGCCATGCAGTCTTGAACTTCGCCATGGCCAGGCCACGGCTGCGCTTGATGACAAGAACAAATCCCGTGCCTTCATGCACCAATACTGGCCGCTTAGCTCTCAACTGCTGCTCCGCAAAGCACGCCGCTTGCACCAGAGCCTTGCAGACAACAGCAAGCATCCTGGCTTGGCTGGAAATCCCTTCACCCGTGCCGGCTCATTCAGTCCTGCTCCCCATCTGCGAGAATGCAGCGGTGGTACAGAAAGCCTGCAAACGGTGGTGTGTCCAACCAGCCCCACCATGCACAACTCATTGAAGGAACCAGGAACGACCCAGTACATCTCCGAATCAACTGAGACGATTATCGAAGTTCAGTTGCGGCAATCTCTCTTAAGATTGCCTCCCACTGCTTGAGGCTGTGCTGCTGACAAAGTGCATAAAGAGCGCTCATCATCATCCAGCTCGGCATCCGCTGCGTTCCTTCGTGCTGCGCTCAGTGTCCAACTCTCGCATGGGTGTGGGGCTTGAGAAAGCCTCCAAGGGGCCGTGCATGTGCAAGTTGCCCCCCTCTCCCTTCTACAAAGCTGCTCATCGAACAGGTTTGCCGGCCAGGCATCACATTGGCAAAATGGTTAGGCTCGGTGGCGCTGACGTTGATGATGGCCCTTGCGAGTGAGTAACGAATAAAGCGGCTACATGTCTACCGTGAAAAATGCGTTCGTGCTAACAAACAAGTGGTAACATAAGTAGCCGAATCAGCTGGTGCTGGTCATGACAAAGACGACGATGATGATGGTGCCGACGAGAAACAGGAGTAGGTCAATGATGATCATGATGATGATGAAGATGATGAGAAGAAGGAGGAGGACGACGACGACGACGACGATGATGATGATGGTGATGATGGTGATGATGATGATGATGATGGTGAAAATGAAGAAAAGATGCTAATGATGAAAATAATGATGATGATGGTGATGATGATGGTGATGATCATGATGATGATGATGAAAATGACGAAAATGATGAAAATGATGAAATGATGAAAATGATGAAAATCATGAACATGATGAAAATGATGATGATGGTGGTGATGATGGTGATGATGGTGATGATGGTGGTGATGATGATGATGATGGCGGTTGCGGCGGGTGGGTGGTGTTTTGATGGCGGTGGCAGATCTTCTGCTACTTTGTGGCGGTCTGCAGCGGTTGCGGTGGTGTCGGTGCGCGGTGAATCACAAAAGCGCTGCCGCCGACTACATGAAACAGTGTCTCTCAAGCCCGGCCACTGACAGTTCGGATCTGGACCGGTATTGTACCACAGCACCACATGTTACCACCAATGCTGAGCCAGGCTCCTGATGGGCACACAGCCCTCAGAGGGATCCAGTGGGCGCTCGTACTCGTGCAGGGCACAACGGCAGCGCGCATGCCTCGGGTCGGGTCGGAGGACTTCACACAGGGATGGGACGGTCCGATGTTGGGTGGGCATACGTCCACACGGCTTCGATAACTCTCTGCTAACTGGTCTGCGCAGGCTAATGTTGCAACACACACACAACAAGAAAGGCACGTCATACGCACCATTCAATTTCACACTCTCATCCAAATCCTGCAAGCTACTCTAAAGCTGCTGCTCAGTGCCTGCCTGTGAGGCGGCATCTGCAGATGCTGATCTCTGAAGTACAGAGCATGCTCGACTTCAGACTCAGCTGCTCTGCAGTGCCAAGGTATAAACCTGGAGCGACCAGGGATGGCGGCAGCGCCTGGAAGGGTGGTCTGATTAGTTGATTCGGTTGCTGTAGCCCAGTATGTTTGTTTTTTAGAGCTTCAAGAAGGCTTGGGATTTGAAGACCGCACGATCTGCCTCATCGTCGGTAGCAGATGCCGACATCGCTCGAAGACTCTGCTTCAACGAGTGGAAATCTCGCAGAGGTCATCTCGATAGCTTTAAAGTGCGAGAAGGATGCTGCTGGGAGCTCAGAACTTGTAACTCCGGAACAAGGAGCAGGTGCTCTCCCTAGCTCTCCTTCACTCTTGTGCTGACATGGGCATGTCTGGCTGCTATCGGGCGATATTGCTGTGACGAACCTGCTTGGATGAAACTGATGCGGGGCGCCAGATGGCTCGAGACTTTCAATGGCAGACAGAAAATCAAACGAGGTATTGCTTCACTGAAACAACAAAGCTGTGAAAAATATTTTCCAAATACAGCCTCGCACCCAAAAAGGCAAACGAATTGCAGATAATCGCAAAGGACAGAGCGCTGGCCGAGGCCCTTCGTGTCCTCCAGCACGGCCGACAGCTCGGAGGGAAGAGGCGACTCGGCCTGAACCTGCCGTTTTTTGAAGCGAGACTGACAGAGGGAGAGCAAAAAAGCCCTGCAGTGTGCTGCTCCCAGTGACTGTTGATGCGTTGAGTGTATTCTTGCAGGTGCTCAGATCCTGTCGCAGTCCTATGACGACCCGCTGCTGGCACCGTCAGCGGCACCAGCAAATCCCGCAAACGCTGTTGGCACCAGCGATCCACCTGCAACTACAATTTGCACGCACCACTGTGCGCCTGAGTTAATGATTTGGTGCTACTATTTACAATTGGTGGCGTCTTCAGTAGATAGTCTCGCACGCAGAAATACCAGGCGGCGGAACGAAGATCAGCTTGAGTTCTGGAACCCTGTGTTCGGCAGTCACGGCGGCGATAGTGCACAAATCCGTTTCCGGGCTGAGGCAAAAATTCTGCAACAGGCTGAACGGAGTGGGCCTGCTTTGCCTCCCACATTTGCGGTGTCTGCACCGGCCCTCGTGCCTGTCATCTAAGAGCTGTAGCAAGGAGCATGGGTGTCTGCATGCCTCCGACTAGCTGACGGAACGACGCATCACTGCAGCTCAACGATTTCACTGTCTCATATCAGGGATCATAGCAGTGCAGCTTGCGGGCACCTGGATCTGCTTTCTGTGTTCCAGCCGCTGGTCCCTGACTACATGTAGTTCATCATCGTTTCAATGCTCCGCAGTTATTGCGTGCCAGGGCTTAGGGCTGAAGGATTTGCTGCTGAGTCGGTCTGCCGGGTCTGAGTCTTTCTAATCTTTGTACATGCGCGCCTAATCAAAAGCCAACCCCAGTCTCATATATGTTCTGGGGTTGCGAAAATGAAACCCTGGACCGGTCCTCCAGGCATCGTCCTCTGACCACTGCTCTTCCTTCTTTACCTTCTCAAGGACCTGGAACACAGCATGCTCCGGAACTGTAAACATTCCTAGGGGCGATTCGCAAGACTTAGCACTTCAAATCTATCTTGTTCTGCCAGTCAATCTGAAGTGCTGTCTGCTTTGACACAAACATGACAGCTGTGCTATTCGTAGTCCTCAAAGAACCCGTGTCAGAGCTCTAGGACCTTCAGAGGTCACTTCGAATCCGATCGGAGCATTGCCTTCTTCTTCTGATCCAGCTCAGCGCTCTGGTCCCACGCTCGGGCCTCGGGCGCACTCCCTCCACCCCTCTGCCGACTTCCTTGTTTCTCTGCCAGTGGTGACTGGTCGCCTCCCTCTGCTTCATGAAGTCCTCAAGCTTCTCTGTCTTCGGCCTCGGAAAATTGGAACGTTCCTGGATGATGCATGCACTGGTGATTTAATAGCAGAGCGGAAAAGACCGAGGGCAGCACTTGCCTTTGGACTCCTCGGTCGCAGCATGCAAAACAGAGAGCATTCTGTATCCTACCGCCATCGCATGACATGAGGAGCGTCCAAGCGTCGTCAATTATATTCAACAGCTTCTGCTCCAGTTCCAAGGTCTGGGTCTTTTCTAGCTCCTCAAGTTGCAATGTCATCTCGTCCCGAGAATCACTCACCGCACCACCCAAAAGGGCCTTCTTGCGCACGGGCTCCATGTCTCTCTCTCGGGCCTCGCGGGGAAGCACTGACGTTGCACCCGAGGCACATCCTGCGACTCGCCTCGTAGAGCATTTTTCCTTTCGAGAGCTTCTCGAAGGCATCCTGCATCCACCACACAGCTCGAAACTCGAGCGCGGTTGAATGAGATTAGGATTTCTTGGCTTCAGGCTTGGAAGCTTTACTTGGCCGGAGTGTGTCGGACGAACCCTATGATCGCTGCAGGATCCGGACACATGCGGAAGACGACCGCAAGTTCTGAATCGTTCTTTCCTCCGCCGCCATCGACGTCAAGCGCAAGGTTTCACCATTAAGTGGCTGAAGAAATCTGCCGAATATGGCATTTCAGGCTCTTTCGAGGCTTTGCGTGCCATCTGGTGCAGTGTTCACATTGCCCAGAATTTTAAAGCCCATTCGCTAAGTCTTGAGGCTTCGGCGTGGTGCTGATCAGCATTCCAACATGCTGTTGAAGACTGCAAAGGACACCTGAATGAAGACGTCGACACCTCACCTAGCAACATGTCCCAACAAGACGTCGTTGCCTCATGCACTCAGCATCGAGCAAAACACGATCCAGGCCAAGCCCGGAGCGTGCAGGCAAAACAATTGGCACGGCACTTGCCTGTGCGACTCTGTGCAGATGAGGAAACTGCGGAGTGGCAGGCTCCCATGCTCGTTGTGCAGCCTTGTCTTGTACATGTCATACACGCAGCATGCACCAAGCGGGCTTGCTTGCCACTCCGATAATCACAGGAGGGTGGGGAGGGGGGTCAAGGGGACTGCAAATATTGCAATTTTGGAATTCCGGAACTGTGTAGGGAGGAAATAACCAGGAATTTTTGCGTCGGCCCTGGCCGAAGAGGTCAAAGGTTCCCACGAAGACCCCCTGTTTACCTTCCTCATAATCCACACACCCGGCCCCAAGACACGATTGTGAAACTTCATGTCCAACAACGGATGTCGGGCGTCGTAGGCAGTCCGACTTAATTTGTCTCTTCTCTTCCCGGTCCCTCGCACCACCACCCTCCCCACGGCCCCCGCCCCCTGCCCCAGTCTCTGGATCTGCGGCCGGGCCGAGGCGGACGACACGAAGCGTTTACCTTCAGGAAGGAAATGGGAAGGAAAACGGAAGCAAACAGTTTAGGGTTATGACTCATTATGGCCCCAGCGCTTGACCCCTGCCACCTCCCTATGATTGAAGCTCTCTTGCCAGGTATTCTGGTGCGTGCATTGACACCGCCTCGAGTTCTCAACAGAACCTGCGACGTCCTAAGTCTGCACACGAGACTGATGAAGTCGTAGCAGATTTTGCACGCCTAGCTGCGACCCATGTTCAGGATGCATTGGTTCAGGGCTAACCATGCTAACCATTGCAACTGAATTATTGCCTGATTGTGCGACTAAGCAAACATTTTGGGGCCGCCAGGGCTGTGCACGCAGGCTGATTTGTGTGCACCACTGATGCGTGCTCACCCATTATGCTTATTAAGCACATTTAAGCAAAAGGGCACATAAGCTGCTGCACCTCCTTTCCGTATCACCTGCTGGGAATCACACCCTGTGGCGATCGCTTGGTGCTGCTGCTGGCACCAAGGCAGCCACAGGAGGGAATGCAGGGATTCCATGTGACAAGTGCTGCAGCGAGAAACGTCCCGAAGAAGAAGAGGACACCGGAAAGATGATCGTCGTGAAACAGGTGATTACACAGCAACCTCGGCTTGAAACATGTGGTATGTAGCTCCGGCTGCATTCTGGAAGCTTAGGTTGGTAACACGTGCGATAGCCTCGAACTGCTCTATGAGCTGGCGAAGGTTATCCCGGTTGCCAGTTGGCATGTACATCAACACATGCAACTGAAAGTTTCTGAGCTGGCCCACAGGCTAGACTGCCACTACAATGGCGGTTGCCAAACCTTAGCGCATCTGCGCAAGGTGCACGCGAAAGAGGTCAAAGCCAGCTCTGTGCAACTGAGAAGCTGGTAAAAGTGCATGCCTGCGGCAAGACCAACAGCGACGATTGTCACCGACAGTGTCAGGAGGAAGTCCTTGCACATAACAGGGTGAGACTCAGCACGAGTATACACGCAAAAGGCCCCGTGAACATGCGACGCATGTTGATCATTGCTGCCGTGGTTGGAGCGGCTTGAACACGACTAAATCTGGAAGTTGTCAAGTCAGCCTAGCACGGGGACCTGCTTGCCACTCGAGGCTTGCCGGAGGCTGGCTGCTGGACAAGCTCGTTAACATTGGCATGAACACACAGCCGATGCAGTCATCCTTCAATAGTCACCTCAAGGAAGCTAAGGAACCGATCAACAAGCTACCTTATTGCCTCTAGTAGCCAACATGCACTGCTGTCCGATGCCTGTGATGTTGTCTGGGGTCTGTTGTGATGTGTGCCATGGTTATCCTCTGACATTGTGAGCGGGTCGTTCTACCCCGAAGGGAGCTAATTTAAGCTATTTCTACTAATGTTGTTGTAACTTGCTGCCTCACTGGTCTGTGTGGGTGGTGCCCCTGTCTCCGTGGCATGGTCCCCGGACCGTTGGTGTGGCCAGTGCTAGCACTGGCTGGCACACGGCCACGCGGATCATGACATTGACAGCCGTCGCCTCGTCCGCCCCTGCTGTGGTTTGGGTGGTGGGCTGTGTTTCGGTGCGAGCCGTATCCACACCCGCCCATCACGAGTTCGTGCACTTTTGTAATTGTTTGAGATACGAAGCTGCCGTGCATCGAAAACTCGGGAACATCACGAGGAACGTCACACCAACAGGTCAAGTCCCATCGACTGCGGCGCATCAGACTTCTTCATCACGAAACCCATTCACTACAGAACACGAGTGCATTGCACCGGCCAAGTGTCCAAAATGCGATACTTCGTCCGGCGCAACATTGATGCCAGGCCTGATGGCTATCAAAAGGGCTTTCTGGATTTCTGGATCTCATCCTTCATGACTTTTCGACTGAGCAAAAGGAATGTGACGGGATGTATGAACCTGTCAACACCGAGTGTCTTCCAGCATCAGCCGGCCCTATGACGTTGATCTAATCCTGCAAAGACCAAACTGTTTCGAAAGGAATCGTCCCCTCGGCACATGCTAATGTATATCCAAGGCACACACCCAGCAAACAAAAACCGTAGGGAAGGCAACGAGCCACATTGCCTTGGCAAGTGAATAGAGACCGTATGAGGGAGAAAGATAAAGGAAGAGAAAGAGAAATACGGAAAGATACGGCGGTGATTACCATTGCATTTCTGTGATGCGAAATCCTTGCTTGCCTGGACATGTGAGTGCCCAACATGTCATCAGTTTGATGAACTTGCGTGCCTTCCTCGATGTCATCATCGGGGGCCACAACATGTCGTGATTTTTGCGGATCACGATAGGAGGTAGGAGACCGATTCGCGCACAGGCGGATTCGCACGCTGGACTGTGGGCTCGTGCACGCCCAGGAATCGGGCACCAACTCCGTGCATTCGCGCTCCAGCAGATTCGTACACCGAGGCAGAAGGATTCGCGCATGCACACAAGCCAGATTCATGCACTACTGCCCTGGACCCTGACGCCTAAAAATCCTAAGAACCCAAAGTTGATTACAACAGATGCAAGATGGAGTCTTTATCCTCGAGCCAAGTGTCAGTTCATTGTCCGAAACTGCATTCTTAAGACTTGCACTGTCAACATGATACTGAACTTAACTCCCCCCTGTAGCAGTCAGATGGTGAAGGTCGAAGCTTGTGTCATTGCGGGAAAGCTGAATCCTAATTGAAGCAGTGTCGCACCATCAGGTGGAATCAAGCGCTCATGATGTCGAATCAAGTACGCAACTACGACAGTGACAAACCTGTCCTCTGGGATGCCGACTGGTATGACTGCCCAGTGACGCGCACGAGGATTGAAGAGAGCACGAGGATTGAAGAGAGCAGCACTGCATAGCATGTTTCCCCACGATGAATCATCAAGTGGTCACGGCGTCGCTCCTTCTTCAGCCTCTACGCATAAGATGGGCCCTTGCACTGGACTGAGCTGAGCGATACCAGAAGGTTCTTCGAGCCCTCTGCGTTCTTGGAGTCGCGGTGAAGCCCTGCTACAACACTCTGTTGCAACGCCACGCTCGAGAACTGATGTGCTCGCTTGTAATGCCGGATGAACCGACATACGACTGCAGTGGGCACACTTGTACTCGCGCGAAGTTGTCTGCATGCCGAAGAAATCCACTAATATGCACGCCAACGGGAAAGACATGCGATGCACTCAGCTGTTGACGTTGCAGAAGGTGCTGCTTTGTCTGGATTTTCGGGCAACTTGCTGCAAAGATCTCACCGGGCAAGCTGATTTTCGTGAGACCATTCGCTACCTGAAGCTCGCTTCGGCAGTACTCGGCAGAGATGTGTGGATCTTGCAGTTGCTCGGTCATTGAGGCTATGTTTACCCGGTGCACCCTATTGGTGTGACGGAGCTTGGCTGAGTAGCCTGCTGTTCAGACGTTCAACAGTGTTTCGTTGCCCTGTTGAAACACCATGTCTACACCATGACCTAGCAGGCGTTCTAACATCGTCTGCACATTAAGGCTTCACCAAACATGGCCGATGCATTTTGCCTCGGGTGTGCTCCTGGCCACACTGGTTTGCTTCTTTGACGACCATCACAAGGGAAAGCCGAACTCTGTCGAGCCTACTGTGAGGAACATGCCACTCGTGGACTTTGGGGTATGCGGACATAAAGAGAAATCGCTGCCGGTGAAAATGTGCAATTGCAGTGTGTCATGATGACAGACCAGACTGTTGCTGCAAGACATGTCTCAGATGATCCATGCAAATAGGAAATCATCCTGAGCAACTGCTTGTCTTCCCAGCACGTCCAGAATGCAACTTTGGACACCAACAGCAAAGATCGTCCACTCTGTAGCATACGTTCCTCTGGCATTGCGTAGAACATAATGCCACACAGGGTCAACACTTCAGCAATCTTGACTTTGCGCTGTTGCTTTCTGGCAGTGGCTCTGAGATCGGACAACAGGCAGGCGGTGTTATCGTCCCATGTGTCATTTGATCTCAATCCATCAGCCTCCTTCTTTACCGCTGCGAGTCCTCGAGGATCGGCTTTCCACTCACGCCTTGTGAGGGTCTTTGTGACCATGCTTCGCACGTGACGATGGAATTGTCGCGGACACCATTCCTCTACAATGACTTGGGAAAATGCGGACGGAAGAACTTCGGCTTGATGGACCTGTGAACCTGCTTCAGTCTCATGGTGAAGCTTCTCATCACACTGACGCTGCCCTTGAAATTGGACTAGGCGCAAATCGTTGGCGGCGACATTCAGTGGCTCGCCTGTTTTGGTTCCTCGGCTTGAAGGAGAAAGCACTTTATCATCGACGGCAGCCTTCTGAAGGTTATGATGCGCCTCGAATGCAACCCATTCTGTCTGCGTCGTGATTGTGGAACGAAGCAGCCACACGAATGCGACTCGACCATTGCTGCGAATGGCCATGTCCAGAAGCTTCATTACCCATTTCAGGCATTGCTAAGATCACAGCTCCTCCGATGGCAGAAAGAACCACAAATTGAATCGCTGCCTGGCCATGGGTTGACTGCAAGCCTGTTCAACATGGGCCTCTGAGGACAGATCAGCTGTGTTTCTATCCAATGTAATGCTCTGGACGCCAGCACTGAAGCAGCCTTAGCAAGTACAGACCAGAGCTTTCTCCTTCAATGTATTATTCGAACAGCAGAGATTGACCCCGCTCAACGTGTGAAGCTTGCGTTGACGCACCTGCTCGCGGCACGCATCTACAAATCTTTGATGGAAGCATTGATCTGCCTTCGCGACTAGATCATCAACGGCATGCTCACCTGGAGGGTGGAGACCAGCGCCTTGAGGGAGCACAGCCGGGGAATCCTTTGTCGGCGGCGCAGATGCACCACCACCGGATGCTTCGCAGCCTAAGACAAAGATGACATCCCTGTACACAAATCCACGCTCGAATCGCCATCCTGCGAACAACCCTGGTGCTGTGTATGCCCCGAACTTGCGCTTGCGAGACTGCGCTTTATCTTTCCAAGGCGCAACGGTGAGCGTCTGTGTGGCGAACTGTGCGGATATGGGCCATAAGTCCGGAACCACATGAAACTTGGTGGCCACACGAAGCGCCCGAGTGAACTCCTGAAGCGTCCTGATTTCGCACTCCATTAGTGCATTGTGTGGGAATCTTTTTTTAGTGATGACTCATGCGCCCATCCTATCTGCGTGATGGCAGAAATCAACTGCCTAGCATCATCAGCCTTACACAAAAACATCCGGAAGATGTTTGTATCTGAAGCTTTGGTGGAGGGAGAGCCGGCTCAACATCAGCATCAAGGGCATCATCACCTACTGTCTTCGACGCTTTAGCCTTGTCCCTGGACCTTCTGCCTGACGCAGACAAGGAGGTTGCCCTTGGAGGTTCTTCCGGCTCCCGGTCAGGACCCCTAGAGCCAGCAGCTGTCCTTGACGGAACATCTCGGTCAATGGCTGGCTCGTGCAAATTAGGTTGACCGGGGTGTTAGGTGAAAGTCTGATTGAAAACGTGGGAGAGGCTTTGCCTTCCTCGCGTCACTCAGAAGTCCTGGGAGCATTGCCGTTGATGAAGGAACGAACCGTGTTTCGTCGGGGGATTCTTTGGTTCGCCTTTGCCTTTGCCTGTCACGTTTTCGCTTTTGCTCCTTGTCCTTTCCACCCTTTCCGGCACCTTTGGGACCGTTTGGCGGGGCAGGAGTGCTCGGCGTTGGCTTGAACGCTCCTCTTTCTTTGGTGTAGGTGGGCCTTTTGGCCATGCTTGATTTTGTCCATTGCTCTTGAAAGCAAGCGACAGTGTTTGAGCTTGGCGTACAGCCACGAAACCATCGCGTTCTCAGCTGGCCAGGCATCTGGACTGAACCTGCTGAGACAAAATTCGACATGTTCACGAAACGATTGGAGATACTGTTGACTGAAGCCCTCGAACTGAATCGCACTGAGATTCTGCTAAGAGACCGTTGCCCCCTGATTCCGTCGATTCTAAACCTGACACTCAACATAGCTATTAGGACCCGCCCTGAAGGAAAGACCCCAAGCAGCTCTAAATAACGAGAATCCGCCAACACAGATCAAGGACATTGTGGTAATCCAACGAGAGCAATACCTTCAGGGCTGCGGTGATGCCGCTTCTGGCGCACCGGGCGCATAAAAAGGACTATAAAAAGGTGTGTCGCAACCAGTCTTCGGCTTCTCTGCCTCGTCGTGAATTACAATCTCCAGCTGTTCTAAATCCTCGCGCATGCCCACCTCGACTGTCTCCAGTACGAAGAGCTCAGCAGCAGAAGATGAAGGAGCCTGCGAAGGTGCAATGACAACCCTCGGCGGGACAGAAGATGCACGCGATGGACCTGAAGATTTAGCAGGTGGCTGCAAGGGACAGGGCCATACAGGGCCTGCCGCTGGGCGGTCTTCCCAAGACCCATCAGCAGAGACACGATCAATGCTCCGCGTGAACTGCTGCCACATGCAAGATTCCACTCTCTACCAGAGGCGTCAAGTAGCTTCTGCTCGCCACAACTGCCGAACGAGATCAAATCTGAGTCGTGAGTACCAGCGACTTCCAAATGCCCTGAACCGATTCACTCCAAGCTTGGGACTTTTGGCCAGCTTCTGTGTCGAGATCTGGTTAAATAGGCTTCGGGTCTCGCCTTTGGGAAATCTCCGAAGTCCCTGAGCTGGGTTTTTAGGCGTAGAGCGTGGAACTTCCAACGATATTGTTGTTGCGTTTGCAGTTGTGGGATGTTCGGGAGCCAACCGCAAACCCGACACCCTGAATCGAGAGGCTTTGGAAACCTTGGACTCTTGGGGAGATGCTGCTGGACTCTCCGACACAGCTTCGCCCGTGCTATAGGCGAAGTGCTAACAGGATATGGAGTTGTGATTTGGCTGGGTGTAGGTGAAGAGAACCACTGAATGCACATCGACGCTCGGAAGCGTAGAGGCACGCAGCGAAAGTGCCTGGCTAGGGATAATAACGTGGAGCGATGTGGTCTTCCACGAACCAAGGGCGGAAATGTCCATAACGTAACCTGCGCACTTGTAGGAGGTCAGCTCCGAATCGGAGCTACCTTACCAGAATTCTTCGCAGAAAGCTTTCCAACCTGATGCGAAGACGCAGTCTTCTTTCGTTTTACCTACGAACCTAGACCACAGGCAGGGACAGCAGGATGAGCAATACTCCTGCCTCAAATCAAGTTACACCCAGCGGAGTCTGATATGTCGATGGGATTTCCTTAGGTTCTGTTCTTTGCATAAGAGTTAAGGATATGAAACGTCCCGTGGAACCGTCCAGCGGGAGGGCGAATGAATGTGCAAGGATGCTGAGCCTGGCGCTGGCTCTTTGCTGAATCAGTGCAAGTTATGAATGAGGCAGGGCCTGGGACACCCGTGTTTCTATTTCAAGCAAAACTTCAAGGCAGGTGTGCAGATATGGAGATTAAAAGGGACACTAAGGCGTCGAGAAGCTTTGCCTATCCTATCACAGTGAACACATTGCGTGAGGCCGTTAACCGGCTAAGGGCAACAGATGCACGTAAGACAAGGAAAGACAAGATGAAGTCCTTTTTCCTTGAGCCAAGTAGTCAGTCGAGTGTCCGAGTCTGCACTCCTAAGTCCTACGCTATCAACATGATGCTAAACTGCACTTTGGGGCGGATCTAGTTAACCTTCAAACCCTAAACCCGGCCTGCCCTACTCCTAAAAACGCAAACTATCAAACCTACAGGCACTTGCTTGTGGTTGAATCGCCTTATGTGCTCGAATCGCCAGCTCTGCAGTCGGGATTAGGCTCGAATTGCATGTGCGTAAATCGCGGCAGCGCCCGAATCGTGCTTCAAGAAGGTGGCGAACTCAGACTCAGGCTTACAGTACCGACTTACCTGCTTGGCATGGTTGCCAGAGATCAGACAAGTTGCCAAAGCAAGTATGAAGGCAACCACCTCAGCACCAGGAGGCTACTGAGATTCAACCGGCATGCACAACCACAAATTCCGAGTTCCAACCTGGTGGAGGGTTGTAAAGACAAGTCTCCCGCAGCTGGTTGACTCATAATTACCGCATGGCTACTGGTCACAGCACTTCAAGCTGCACATGGCTGCATGACTGTTGAACTTGTCAAATGTGGCGGTGTGCGCATGAGACCCTGGAAGGATGACTGCAGCCAGATGGCGGCACCGTGATTGTCTCCACCTTTGAACCTAGTCTGAGAAGAGCAACTATGTGTCTTGATCGGCCTCGCTCATGAAAGCTGCCAAAGCTGCAGACTCCCATCAGTTTGCCGCAATCGCTAGCCGCGAGACTACCATCTCGGCTAGCCAGTCGCGCCTCGCTGCGACCATGTCCAATTGCGCCCAGAGAATGGGCATTGTCGCACCAAGCAGCCAGCGGTACCTTTCACGATGGCTGTAGCATGCCCCGATTCGAAGCACTCCTTCCCGCTCGAACTCCCAACACCGCGAAGGCACGGGAAGGAATACTGGCCGAGCTGGCTCGTCAACCCAACGGACACAGTTGTGCGCGCAACCTTCTCAAAATTCTCCACGGACCCAAACCTCGGCTTGGCTGCAGAATGCCCACGTCAAGCAGCGATAAAAGAAGGAGCAAAGTGGATGAATTTCCTCATGGACTCGCCAGGGCACCAGCGATGAACACATTCCATGACCACCTGGTCACTCGACTCTCGGCTCGCGATGGCTCTCGCTGAGAGTGGCTTTACCTGAACCCTCTCTGAAATTGTCCTTCGCAAGACAGAGACCAAAATTTGGAGCGGACAGTACAGCAAATTGCAAGGCTGTCACCATCGCGCAAAGCACAAGCTTGACCGCATCCACAGCAATGGCAACCCTCCGCCCCCTCTCTGTTCTCTTTCCCTCTGCTCATTACCATCTGCAGCAGCTCACTGCAGCTCAAGGAGGCAACCTCTGGCCGAGATGCACATCACAACAGCAGCCAGATCAACGAGAAACAGTGTGACGGTTTGGCATGTCAAAGCGTTCGCAAGCATCTTGATCACGCAGCGCTGAGAGAATGGAGACGTCGTGACGAGTGAAATTGACGAGTGAGCATGACGTTAATTTTGGAAGAGCACGAACAAAGACAGTGCATTTCCGGCCGTGCCTGCCGGTCACATTGAGGCTCCTCCTCCTCCTCGTGGCCCATTTCGCAGCATGTGCATTTGGTTTCATCAAGCCTAAGTCGAAGAAGGACACAGGCATTCCGGCATTCCATAGTTCAGCGACAGTTTCTTCCAAAAGCTGAACTCGGAAATCGACCAGCAAAGTGCGTTGCGGCTACCGATTGCGATTGAGGGATGTTGGGACAATACGACGGCATGACGAAAAGCCGCCACAGAAAAAGCAAACCTACTGACCCTGTTGCTCGTCAGAAACACCCTATCTTTTGGGCTCACTATACAGCGTAGTGGTGCTGAAAGAGTAACTTGAAGTTGGTAAGCTCGTCTTGAAGCTGGCGCACGCTGTCGTAATAACTCCTGCAGCACCAGGGCGAGCATGACGCAAGCGGCAGCGGCTCCGGGATTGCTGGCTCAACTGAACACGGCTGAAGAGAGTGGGGTGAACCGAACCTGGGACAGCCGAGTTTCTGAAAGGCTGCAGTGCCGAAGAAAAAGCCCACCACTCCTGGAGCTAAGCAGCCAATTTTGACACACTGCAGCGGCTTCAGAATGTGACAGAATTCGAAGCACTCTACACGCCAGATGCACCCTGTCGTCATACGTCGCACAGATGAAGACAGTCGAGGTGCCAACACCAGCGAAAGCCAACAGCCCATGATAGTCGAAGAAGGTGTGTATCACCAGCTCCGTAATCATTACCTCAGTCTGAAGTGCACAGAGGACGAGCTTACGTTTGACCGGCATCAGGCATGAGGAACTTCTTGTAATTGCTGCAGGCGGAGGACCACCATGCTGCCAAAAGCGATCGCCAGCGTGCAGGGGCCAAGAAACGTCGGCCTGATCTTCAAGTTCATCTTGTTCTGATCCTCGTGGCTCTTGACGAAGGCTGCATACTCGAAGATACACCAAAGTCGTTGCACCTTACCCAACATCTTGAACATCTTGATAGTTGATGCCAATCTGTGCACACATAGACGAAGCGATTAGACCCTGTGGCGCCGCCACTCGGCCACGTTGCAGCCAGAAAAATGCAGAAAAAAGGTGACAGGAGCGTGGTGGGACATATTTCTTGTTGTTTGTTGCTTGTTGACACGTTCAGTTGCTTCTGTTGCTGGCACTGTCGCTGTTGCTAGTTTGCCGCTTCGGTTGCGGATGTTGCTGATGCCGATGTGCTGTTGCTGTTGCTATTGCTGATGCTGGTGCTGGTTCTAGTGCTGTTGCTGCCGCTGCGGCTGCTGCTGCTGCTGTTGTTGCTGTTGCTGCTGTTGCCGTGGCTGCTGTAGCGACTCTTGTCGGTGTCGCTGTTCCTGTTGCTGTTGGTTGTCGTTGTTGTTTGTGCTGTTGCTGTTGCTGTTGTTGTTGTTGTTGTTGTTGTTGTTCTTGTTGCCGCCGCTCTTGTTCTTATTATTGTTCTTGTTGTTGTTGTTG